TAGAATGATAAGATGTTTTTAATCAGAGTAATGGCATGTTGAACTTCACGCTGTGTCATCACTAATTGGTAACCAGACCATATATTATTTAAGTTGTCAGTCTCAGTATTTATAGATGAACACGAGATAGGTTGACTCCTCGCAGCTTCTTATTAGTACTGAATACGGTACCCTGTCTACCATCCTTAACACAGTCTTTGACTTATTGATAAAAAGGTAGTCCTGAAATACCCTGATTATTTTTTTCTGTATTTTCTTCTCAGATTGTACCTTTAGGTATGCCCTCTGTCATGCAAGTACTTTCTATGTAAACTTACCCTTTTCTCAAAATCAGTCAAATGTCAGAAAGACAATTCCAGAGTGTATTTGTTTCTATGATTGTGATGTTGGTTTAAAGAAAATGGATTGATAAGCTTTTGGATGTGATTTGACAGGCCATTACCTTTCCCAGAATGCCCACGTCACAACTGCCCTTTTTAAGAAGAAAAGTCTCAGTGACAGGCCGCTTAAAATTTTTCGGTAAGATTGCGTTTATAACCATTTAAGACAAAAACGGAAGGCTGCTGTCATGACTGAGCATCACGGTGGGACATTGGACAAGAAAGCACTGGATTCATGACTTAGGTCACTTCTTGGGACTCGTATCAGGTAATGAAGTTATAGGAGCAAGGCAAAACCACAGTGAAGGTATAAGAATAGATTTCTCAGGGCACTGGTTGAGATTTAGACAAGAGTGCTGATATAATGTTACAATAAATTGAAGCTCTAAAACTGTAGAAAGTTCTGAAATGCTCTGAAAACAGGCATGATGGCAAATTCAAATAATCACTTCAACATTCATTTAATTGTTGAATTCCAGGTATGTAAAAAAAAGTCTAAAAATGTGTTTCACAACTGCTTGAAGTTTGTACAGCTGTCTTTGTGTTTGATTTATCACATGGATTCTAAGAAATGTTTTTTCACAAAGTGATATAAAAATATTCTTGGTGAATACGAGAGCTGCCATTCATCAGTCTGGTTAAAATGTATTATACCCTTTTGCTTTGTTTTAATGAAGTTAACTGGCAGTGGACTGCCAGCTTTGTCTTCTGTCCTAAGATTTTGAAATACTGGCAATTTATCACTGAAGTAACAAGTAGTTTAACTTGAATGTCGTCCATCTGGTGAAGTCATTATGAGTTAATGTGTACAGTAATGTATATCTTTAGCCATTTGTTTCTGTATTCATGCTCCTTCAACAGTTGGTCTATGCTGGCTGATTGCAATACAAATGGTGATTTCCTCAACTCTCTTATTAAATCACTTGGACATCTTTGATTTTCCAGCTGAATACTTGCATGGTAAGTTTGGCATATGAAGAACAAGGTACATGTATTTCTGTCAGCTGACAATTGATAATATCATTTCTCTGAAATGATCAATTGATATTTTGTCTCAGAGGTATTTAATCCTCTAGGACTAGAACAAAGAGCGTGCCACTGTCATCACACATTTCATCAACTGTCAATATATTAGGAGAATAATAAGAATTTCTGCGGACAATTTCCAATGTTTAGAGTTCAGAAAAAGTAGTGAGCATGAATATTATCGTTGGACAATAGGTAGCACCCATTACATCAAACAGAACCAAAGTAAACTGAATCATCCAAGGTAGCCAAAAGTCTATGAGATTTGGGAGGGGGGGGGGGTATGGAAGAGAGGGTGGTCAGAAAGCAAGTGAAGGCTGACAAAATTTAAGAATCCAGGAATATTTTTCTGGTTATTTTCTCTCAAGTTCTGTCAAATTACAATCCATTGCAGAACCGTTAATTTATGAATTCATCTTGTCACTTTCATATTGCTTTATAAGGGCTCATACCCAATAAAAAACTATCATTCTATGTTTATCAATCCAAATGGGGACTTTCAGCATTGAGTAGGAAACAGAAAAAGAGTGCATTCCTGTGGAGTTGAATTGATTTATGTAGAACGATAGTTTCATTGGAAATGAGCCCTTAGACAGCATTCGCGATACTTTTTCATGTTCTCATAGGACATTATACAGTGGCGACAGCCTCGTTTTATGCTAGGTTCTAGGTCATTTTACAAGTTGGATCAACTAAGGTGATAACGGTAAGAAGGTCAATGTTCTCAGAAAATGAGCACACACCCCCTTTTAAAATTGCTGATTACAGGCCTGACATGGGTATTTCTTTATCAACAGTGACAGACTTGCTGGGGAATGTGTTCACCATAAACTAGTGTTTAGCAGCTAATTTTTACAATTCACTTAACCAGCTATCTTCCAATCAGTTCAGGTGAGTCAGCTTATTACCCAGTCTTATTCTTTCTCTAAGGTTAATAAGCTGAACTTTGTTCACATAGACTATAAAAAATACTCGTGGTGTATTAAAAACTAAAAAAACATTTTTGTTGGATTTGTAGCCTTTCTGATATTGAAACAGGTTTTTAATGTGTCAAAAATTAAAAATAGAATTGAAATAGAAATGTGCTATTTTTAGCATTTATATCTACATCTTGATAAATGTGAATTATGTGGAATTTAACAAAATGTTATGATACATTTATTCCTTGATCATATTATTCAAGGATTTCTTTGGAATGCTGGAAATTTTTCATATGGTATAAATTTCCCTATGCCAATCTCCTTTTCAGATTGATAGAGAAAGCAATTTTGTATCTTTTATTTTCATTTGACAGAATTATTTCATTGATTTTTTTCCTTTTTATGCCCAATCAGAAAAATATACGAAAAGTGCAATATTCTCCTAGTTAATTCTCTTGGCTTCATTTATTATTATATCTGATTGTGTGTCAACTAAGGGGAATTCTGTCTAAGATGGAACTTTCATCTCTAATCAGCAAAGACTAAAAGATGTGGAGATTCTCTGGGATTGGTTTATATGTACTACATTTTGAAATGGCAGTTTTGTCACAGATGATCAACTGTGACAGCGTCATTTGCACTGTTCAAAGGATAAAGTACATTGGTGCTTGTGCTCTAAGTAATTTACATAGGAATAAGATTACAGGTGTGTTTTAGTTTTTCCAATTGTTTGCTACTAAAATTCAGTACGTTTCTAGGCAGTTTTTCTTTTCTGAGTAAAATGAAGATAATTCTCTTTCATACTTAGAAATAATTTGTTTTTGTAAATAAGGATATACTCTCCTTTCAATTATCATGCTTGTGCATGTGTGCTTGTACAAATGCGTGTATGAATGATGCACATACACGTGTTCTTGTGAATATTATGTCTGAGTGAGTGAGAAAACTACTTGAAAAATAGACAAGAACTGTAACTGATAGTCTAGTAGCTATTTGATTTTATTTTCCAATGTAACCTTTCATTTTCTCAAACAACAGTGAAACACTGGAGTAGCAGTTCATCTTTGTAAAACATTTTGTCATTTTCCTGTTTACCAATCTTGTTTAAAAGGAGTTATGAAGTTAAGTTTATTTGTTTTAATTTGTCATGAAAAGATGAAAATGTACTAGAGGAGGAGGGAAAAGCTTTTTGATTAAACTAAGACTTAAAAAAGAAATAAAGCACCTGCACAACACTCTAGAAACTATTTGCACAAGTGTTTCTAATTACTCATTACATTGCATGGTGTTAAAAATTGGTTATTTTCAGGATAGTGTAAAACAGGTATTTTGCTGAACTTCTGATTATATTTCTTCAATTTAGATGAACACTGAAAAAAATAAAGCACATGCACAACACTAGAACCTTTTGGCACAATTGTTTCAAATTACTCATTACATTGCATGGTGTTAAAAATTGGTTATTTTCAGGATAGTGTAAAACAGGTATTATGCTGCACCTCTGATTATATCTCTTCAATTTAGATGAACACATCAGACTTGATCTCCAGTGTGTAGGCTTAGAGACTTTGTAATTTATGATCTGGTCTCATTTAAAAGCTGATATTTGTACTTCATTGCTTAAAAGCAATAATTGTCAGATACGTTACTCCTTGTTAGCATCAAGATCCATCATCACTTATGTATGGTCCACTTAGAATTGCTCCTTGGGGACCAATCAATTATATCTAGAAAAACAATTTAAGTTTACTCGATCTTTCCTCTTTTCTTGCACTAAAAGTTTTGAATCAAACACATGCATATAATGAGTGCAAAAATGCATACATTCATTACAGTAAATTGAGTATTTGTACCAGTGTCATAGATACCTTGTATATTGCTTTCACTCTACTCTAGAGTATACTTGGCATCCCCTATCTCTCAGATGTATTTTACAGAAAAATTGAAACTTGATTGATTGTGACATCAATTTGAAGGGTAATAGCTTCTTCCACACTGAATGTTATAAGATAAAATGAAATCAAGAAGTTAATGGGTTGGTAGATGTAACTGAAGTCTCAGGAGTGTGTTTTCTTTCTCATTGATACACCAAGGTTAATAACACTGACAAACTTTGTCTCCAGAGGTTCTTTAACCCGTAACATCAATAAGCCATTATCAAGTATGTTCAACCCAAGTGTCCAAAATCACTCCAGGAAAAAAAATTGATGAAGTTACATAATAGGATGTAAACTCATTCTCGGTGCCTGTAAACTCCTGGTAATGCTTTTTTTGATAACATTGATGTTCATGCCACACGCAGAATATGCTGCACATAGATCCCAATGGGCAGAAGTCAATTTGCAATAGTTTCAGAGGGCTTGGTAATTGAAAAATTAAAGCAAATGTGATCCATAGACATAAAGGATTCTTAATTAAAAAGTTTATAATCTGTTTAAATGAACACCATCACAGTTCCATTACTGTATTTCTTGTAATTAACTTCCTTATATTTGTAGTGAATCACAAAAAGTGGTTTGATAAGGCCACTGAACTTAAAAGTTGTAAAGTACACATAATTACATGTTATTAATCATTTCAGATAAATGAAATATGCATCGTTTTCTTGTAAATATTTGATGATATTTGTAACATATAATAATTGTCCTTAAACTCACATTATTCAATGTTTCAGATAGGTTCTAACAAACCAACGACATGTATGGTATGTTACTGGAAAGCATTCAGTATTTCATTCAGTCCAGTTACGGGGAAGACAAATGGATGATGGTCTTGGAGCATGCTGGGATGAAAAACGAAGTCTTCTCAACGCACACAGTTTACCCTGACAACAGCATGCATAACATTGCCAGTGCATGTTCAGAAGTTCTGAAAGACGGAACAGTGGATGAATATTTGCAATACTTTGGCAAGTGCTTTGTAAAATTTTTCAGCCATTATGGTTACGACAAGATTGTCCGTGTCTCAGGAAGATACTACTGTGATTTCTTACATGGCATTGATAACTTACACGAGATGCTCAGGTTTGGATTCCCAAAACTCATCACACCTTCGTTCTGTGTGGAACAGATTGATAAAAAAGGGTGTGTATTAAACTATGTGACCAAGAGGTTTGGTTTCACTCACTATGTGGTTGGTCAGCTTCAAGCAATTGGAAAGAAATTTTATGGTTTGGATGTTGATGTTAAAGTAATATCAGAAAAAAAGACCTCTCCCAGGGGGCTACATGTAAAGTATCGCCTCAATTTTGAGAACAGCGTGTATTGTGAAGCCAAGTCAATCAGCAGTATAAGGCAGTTGCCTAAAGATTTGGCCTTCGTGAGGAGTGATATTTTTTTCAAGGTAAGTTGATTGGAAGTTATTTGATAAAAAGTCATATCAAGGTGTCAAAACTTGAAGAAGTATATTCTGTTAGTTATATTGATACATGTGCCTTTAAAGAGAAAATGTGTTTTTTTTTTTTTTTTTGGTACCTTAGATATTCTTATTTCATGTTTATATTCTGTGCTTCCCAAAAGCATATTTCTAGTTCCTCTATCCTCTACATATAATAACATCAGTATACCTGAGTGAAAACTCCATTTTAACATGTTGTGAATTTGCAAGCAGTACATGTAATCCATCTTTTCATTTAGACCAGGTGAAGAAATGGGTGGTCTTATAAACATATATTTATATGATTATAATCATATTTTGAAGCTTGATAAAGTGATCATCATTGTTGAGAATACCTGGAAATTTTATCTTTTGTTTTGGGCAAAATACTGTGGTTCCTGCAAGTGTTTTTCTCAATTCAGTTTAAGATGGGGGAATGTACAGAGTTAACTTCTGTACAGTTAATGGTGCTGGTGTTTTAAATGGTCTCTCTGTTTTTTTATCAGAATTGCTTTTATATGTGTTTTATGTGTTTACATAAAGCAAGTTGTGTGGTGCATTGTCAATTTATGGCTGGAATACATTACACTTAAACACATGTAAAATGGTGAGGACAACATTAAACTCGCTAGATTAAAATTAACTTTTGATCTGAAGGATGCAGTTAATCAACTATGAAAAACTTTTCAGTAATGAAAAATATTAAAAATTTGGCAGGATTTTCCTTTTCGTTACAAAGACTACTTCATGTCCACAAATCCTTTTACCAATCATGCTGTATAACAAAACATTTAAAGCAATTTTATTTTATATTAATGGTGTGTGCTGCACTAAAGTTGTCTCTGGTAAAATAAGACTAATTCAACACAGAGGGGACCAGATCATACTACCATTAAACCTACGCTAAATGGCAATTTGTTATGAGGGGGTAATCCTCAGTATCACCAATTTGGCATAAGTGGCTTATAATGTGCAGTTTTTAGCTCAAATAGATGCAAATGATTTATTGAGCCGAATCAACATGTCATATTATTTCACCCAAAGTCAAGGCGATAGCAGAGGTCGTGAAATAGAAAAAGTTTAAAATGCCAGCAATTGATGCTAATATATAAGTAAATGTATTAATGTGCTGCTGTGCCCTTATCAAGAACACCCTTGGGTTAAATGCAAATTTTAAGTGGCAATATAATTTATAGATGCCAAAAGCTGAGATTGAAGAGAAAATAAATATGAATAAGAAGATGGGGGAACAAGAAACGTGCTATTGCTGTGTTAAAAAAAAAAAGAAGATTTTTCAAAGTAAAATTGTATGTGTAGTTTGCTCTTATATCTGTTCTTTGTTCTAATGCACCATAGTGTTTATTGTCAGCTTCGCATCTGCGGACCCCCCCTCCCTCTTCAAATATTCCTGATCTGCCCCTGGACTGGAGTTAAAATAAAAAAAGTTATTGTCAATCAAATATATTTTTTTTACTGTCCATTCCTCTGTGTGTATTTAGGTGTTTCCGTTTAGTCTGGTGTTTGGCTGTGATATGGTAGTAACCAAAATAGGACGATGTCTTCAGAAATTGTTTCCGGGAGATGGTCTGGTCGACCAACCTGTCTCAAGTGTGTTCAAACTCAGGAGACCTATCATGGCATTTTCTTGGGAAAATGTAAGTACCTCTAACAATCTCCTTCTTTCAAGTGAGTGTATTGGGTGGAACAGTTCTGATTTTGTTGGGTGTTACAGACTTAAGTATGTTAGTCAAGTCTTGTACAAACCACATGATCAAATATGTAAAGGTGTCTGATTTTTAGTGCACTCTCATAGTTTGAGGGATGCAGTTTTTTCCCCTCAACCCAATTCTATAAACTCATCCAATACTCTCAAGCGATCAAATTTTTTAATAAATGATACTAATCACTTGTTAATGTTAGACTACAGTTGTGTCAACTGGTCAATCACATTCAGTACTCGTGTATGTGTCTTGTTTTTTGTAAGAATAACTTTGATGTCTCTGCATTTGTAATAGATCTACTCATTCATCTAAAACAACTCGAACTGAGTGCAAAATATTACTGGCAGGATGACTGATCAGCAGTAACTGCACTACAAATCATTAAATGGGTTCTCGCCTTTCCATCAGAGCATCCAGTCTTTGACATTGTGGTTTTTCATAAATAAGTTGTTTGTGGTCTTTTGCTGACATAACATGCAGAGCAGTGCCACAATGTAGTGTGTTTGTTGTGATGTAAACAATATATATGTTATATAGGGTGTTGGAATCCTTTATAGTAATAATGAAGTTTGGATTTTATAGAATTTAGGTGAGCATTCATCATGTGTTTTCAATCATTTTTTTTTGATCCAGTGATCAGTAAAGTATGAAATTTGAGGTACAGTGTATATAGAATGCTTGTATTAATTAATACTAATGTTTTCAGGTCTTACTAAATGACCAGAAGTTAGTGTTTGAGCTGGAGAGTCGTGATGCTGTACACAGGCACTGTAAGCACACGACATCGTGCACGTGCCCGTCCAGGACGGCCTCGCAACATCTCCTGCTGAAGGGCCAGATGAGGTACATCGAGGACTGGAAGGAGGTGGTCTACCTCTGTTCTCCTATGTAAGTACTGCTGCAGGTGGTTGGTGCTTCTGCTTCAGGGGATATCACCTTTCTGAGGTCGCAGAACATTATTTTGACCTCAAAAAAGTCAGTTATTTCATGGTAAAGATTGGTCTGCCAGACCTGTAGTTGTCAAATAGTTCAGACATTTATACTGATAATATAATGCATGGAACACTAAAAGCTGGTCAAGATTTGAAAAGATTTAACACATGATCAGTAAAAGGAAGATGCTATAAAGATATTTTTGTGATATATCTATGTATTATTTGATGCACATTGCATTGAGACTTGATTGAATGTTAATGTTAGCATACATTTTCATCCATAGGCTTAGCAATCTTACTGAGATGCAAGGTTTGGGTCTGTTTATCAATGATCTCAACATGTTTGACAGCAGCCGAGACATGGTCATAGCAGGGGCACAACATGCATCTAAGATAGAAATGGCTTTAGAGAGGGTAGGTTGATGTGTAGGATGAAATGGATAAGTTGTGTTAGATGTGATGAGTTGGTTGCATTGTGTTTGGTGAGATGTGATGCAGTAGAAGTGATGTGTTGGGTTGTGACATACTAAGTAAGTGTACTGTGTTAGCTGAGATATGATGTTTTAGGTGAGATGCATGTGGTAAAATGTATTTTGTAAGTTTGCTTAGTGAGATAACACCTGTATTGTGTTAGGGGATTTATTTTGTGTGCAGTTAGGTACTAAAATTTGGGCAAGATAAGATTTTAAGGTTGGCATCATCATGCAGCCATGAGTTGGTTATATAGTGATGTTTTTGCAAATAGATGAAATGTGATGTCTGTGATGAGATATATAATGAATTATAGATAGACCACTCTTTGATATGGAAATAGAAAATGATATTATGAAACAAGAAACTTCAAATCTCTGATTAGTTTTTGCCCTAACTGTACTTGCATCATTTCTCAGCTCACGTTCACAGAGTTTTTTATTTTTGTTGAAACAAAAGGTTTTCAATCTTGCTCTTATATTTTTGGACCCAATTTTGACCTTTATTGGGAAAAAATACATTGCCAGTGGAATCTGTTTAAACACTGGCTTTTTTATGGTTCGCCAAAATTCATAAAGGGGGAAGTGGAAAAAGTTGGTATAAGATGGTAATGAAGTCTGTTACGCTTCCTTTGTTTTGAAGTGTAATTTGATAAATTAAAGCTGATAGCTTATAATGCTACAGCAAGATGAAATGTTGATTCACTTTGCATGACTGAAAAATACATGTTTTTTACATCAAATTTTCTTTAACACTTGCTCTGTAATATTTCTAGTTTTGAGTGTTAAGAAAGGTGTTGTTACAGAACTGGAAAAGTTATTCCTCAATTATCGTTGTAATTGACTCAAAGACATTTGATTCTAACAATTATTGAAAGCCTTTGAGTGTTTTTTTAATGACGTAAAATTGATCCTCTTTGTTGACCAGTTGTGGCAAACGGAGAAACCTCTGGGAGATGTTTTCAATCTGCTCCACTGTGGCTTAACATGAGACTTAATGATCTAGAAGTTATGCTTCACCATGTCCATTTAACCACTTTGAAGTTGGATCCATGTCAAAGCTTGAAGGTCACCAGACAGTCCTGTATTTCATTTTCCACCGATTTCTTTCATGCTGTGACTGCTAATGGTGTTAATTATCTAACTAGTGTTCCTGAAGTGTGAGCACCCAGGGACTGTATTAGTCTGGAATCCATTCAACTGATCTTGGTATTTGGACCAAGGTTAACTCCCCAATTCCCCAAGTTTCAGAGCAACTTAAATGATTCTTGTTTGTTAGCTGGATCGAGCTGCCTCTGACCTTCACCTCCTCACTGGAGATGTGGCACCAATAACAGACAGGACTTCCATATATGGTTATATTTCTTAAGAAATCAATAACCAAGCTTCTAATTACAGCAAAACAACTATGATTTAGGGAAGTAAGATCTTTTCATGTGGTTTTAACTGCTAATTTGATTTGTTTGTAAAATTCATTGAAAAATTTTTGAACAAATTATATCCATGTATATGCTGCCACATAAAGCAAATTAAGGAAAGAAAAAATAAAAACTTGATCATTTTTATGAAGCAATGTTATCAAATGTTTTAAAATACAGTATGTTCCTAATTTGTTTTATCTCAAAACATTTTTTTTTCAGTCTCAGAATTGCCATTTAACATATGCTGCTTTAAAGAAAAGTATTGACTTCACTTATGATTAAATCTCAATGATGTATCAACTACTCAGTGGATATGGCTAATGTCATCTGATGACCATGTCTGAAAATTGTGTTGCCTGGGTGACAAACCTTTGATTGACAGGTGTTAATAGTTGTGTTGATGGCCAGTGGTTCTTGGTAAACTTAATATCCGCCTGTATGTCAAAATTTCTCATGTGAATCTAAAGCTAGGACAGCCAGGGAGTGAAACCAATCAGATGTATTCATTAAGAATAGACTGAAAATGACAAAATCCAGTTTGAGGTAATGTGTATTATTTGACACCTAGAGTGTCTGGAATCTGTTTTTGGACAGGTTTTCATTTTCACTGAAACTAAACATACACAATCAAAAACTCCTTTTGGCTTTAGGTAGAAAATTTAACAAAAAATTATAGCCCCCTCTTTTACACACACACACACACACACACACACACACACACACACACACACGTGCATATACATACCCTTTAAAGTAAAGTTTTATTTTCTGACCTCTGGTTGCAGAAGACATTGTCAGTAATGTATAGCAAACCAAGATGTGTACTAATAAAACCTTCAGATATTTATGAAGAAACAAGTCATATCAAACTCGTGTCTCTGCCCCCATTGTCATTTTTAATCATTTTACAATAACACTGCATCAATCAATATTATTGACTAAGTAAAACTTGATATTTAATTACATTGGCATTGACTGTCAGTTTGAAGGTTTACTTTACAAAATTATAACTTGATTGACACCATAGTGGTTTACTATCTGCTATATAATGTGTGTGATCTGTCACTTCCCTGTCACTATAAAATAATTCCCTGTCTGTTTCCAAGTTAAGATTAGCTTTATGAAAAAGACACTTTGTTCGCTGAGCAATGCAGTTATCATGCAGTTCAACATGTACAAAAGAAACATTAATATTTACTGGAAGATGTTTAACTAACTAAAAAAGCAATTAGAGAGCACAGATCTTCCTCATTATAAATAAACAAATAAATAATTAAGTTGATTTGATTGATTTCTGGCCTCTCTTATATGTATAATTTTTCTCAAAATCCACCCATAACTTTTTGAGACAGGCCATTAAAATCAAAGGCAGAGGTAATGAATTTAATATCCTTATAAAACATGATATTGACAGCGTGTGTTCCAATATTTTCAGCAAGTTGAAGAGGTGGAACACATAACGGATAACATGAAGAAATTGGATGAATGGAAACAGAAGTCGGAGTCTCTGCTGTACTCTATGATCCCAAAGTCTATAGCTGTTCGGCTGAAGAATGGGGAGGACCCCATTAACACATGTGAGGTGAGTGAGGGAAACTATATAGGTATATGGTGAAGTATTATATAATTTATGGAAAATGGGCATATATCAAAATGGAAAAGAAAAAACAAATGTGTTATTTGTCAAATATCTTTTGAAATAATTTTAAATTTTGTTATTTTTTCTTCAAAGAATTGAAGAAGAAGGAGAAGAAGCAATACGTGGTTAAATAGATGATGGGGAATAAGTGATTAAACTGTTGTAAAAAAGTAGCATTTTAAAACCTTGTATTTCAGGTGTTTGACTCTGTGACCATAGGCTTCAGCTACCTTATTGGGTTCACAGAGGTATGTGCACATGTCAGCGCCATGGAGTCTGTCCAAGTGATCAATAGTGCCTTCACTCTGTTTGACAGTGTCAGTGACAAATACAAAGTTTTCAAAGTAAGTTTTCTTCACCATAGGTATCAGAACATCAGTGGAGGTGCTACACCATACAAAAATTAAGTCCCGTCTTAGTTAATGGAATTGTCAAGCAAATTCATTTTTTATTGATTTATTTATAAGGACTTTGTGAGATTTTTGTTGTCTTTTTTAGTAAATAAATCCCAAAAGTGACTTTGTAACATGAAAATAAAGGGTTTTTTAAAATATTAAACTTTTTAATATTTAGAATTCACAATTCAAAAGATTAGTTAGTACTTGGACATAATATGTCCAAGGTTATTACCTGAAAAAAAAAATGATGTGAGCAAGTTTTAAAATATTTTGCCACTTGAGCCCTATGCAGGGTGGCATTCAGCATAATTCTACAATATTTTTTGTATTGATTTTTTATATTTATTTGCATTTGCATATTTAAATGCATTTGAAACAGGTGGAGACCCTGGGTGATGCTGTCTACATGGTAGCAGGGGGAGTGCCTGACAGAGAGCCCAACCATGCTGCTAATGTGGCACACTGTGTGTTAGAACTGCTAGAGAAAGTGAAAACACTAAGGAACCCGGACAAACCAGGAAATCATTTTCTACTAAGAGCTGGTAAATAGAATTTTACAGAAATCGGTTTAAATTTGCAAGTTTACAGTGTACAGTTATGTGAGTTTGCTCCCAAGTCCCATGATGAATTGAGGATTTCCTAGTAACTTCAATTGTAAACACTAGAGACATTCACTGTACCACTAACCTTGTAAAACCTGTAACTAGTTCTTGTTGTTCCAGATGTTTAAGAAGCGATATTTCATGGCCAATTTCTTTACTGAGCTGTAATTACCTTTACTTCAGGTATGTCCACTGATGGTTCAATTTATAGTTGATGGGAAGATTCAGTACAGCACATTGGCCATCAAATATAATCCATATTATATATATATATTTGATTGGGGTAACATTTGACATTTTAGGCATGCACACAGGGGGTATAGTGGCAGGTGTGGTGGGTAAGAGGATGCCTCAATACTGTCTATTTGGTGATACTGTCAACACAGCAGCTAGGATGCAAACACATGGAGCAGTAAGTACCATTAGAGCACAATATATATATGAAATGCATTTTAATAGTGTGCTCTTGAATATGTTAGCATGTATAAGATGACTTGGACTTGATGAGGGTAAGGGAGTAATATATACCTAACTTCTACTGCAGTGAAATAGAGAATATGTTTTAAATAAAAGAAATACACACACAAGATTTCATTGAATGTGTTTGGGTGTGCTTAAGAATTGTGATGTAATCACAGCATTGTGAGATCTTCTCTAACGCATTCATATCTGTGTTGTGTGTACAGCATTTAGTTACTTTCTATGCAGACTTGATTTTAACATAAGAGAAATTTAGATGTTCCTAAAAAACAAGGAAATGTGTGTATGTTTGTTCACACATACAGGTGCACACACTTAATTTGACTGCAGGGTCTTTCAAAATTTTATTTTTAAAGTTTTAATGAAGATTTCTTTTCTTATTTCAAAATAACACTGATAATAGGGAAAAACTGATGGTTCTTTTATTATTTTTATTAATAACACTTTTCAGGTTATTCAGTAAAGTGCTGGTTATCATTGAAAAAAGTTAGTTTGTGGAATAAAGGTGGTCTTTTTTGTTACACGCATGCAAATAGAGCTATACATGCAGTGGATGCTCTCGTCAGTCTACTGCTTTCAAATGATCACATATGTATAAAGCTAAATTCAGCCAGTCCTAATATGTTCTTCATTAACTTGCAAAAGTCATAATAAATGGTTTTAGTATTTGCAGGCAATCAAAACAACATTACACAACCTTGTTGATGTTCTGTTTCAGGCTGACCAAATCCATGTGAGTGAGACCTGTAAGCACTGCCTGGATGCCACATAGTTCAACATTATACATCCTAGTTGATTTTCTCTTTCAGGCTGACCAGATCCATGTAAGTGAGACCTGTAAGCGCTGCCTGGATGCCACAGAGTTCAACATTATACCCAGGGGTACTGTCAGTATAAAAGTAAGAAATATAGAGGGAGCTACTTAAAGTGGAGATGGTGGGGATGGGGGGAGGGGGGGGGGGGGAGTTGTGATACCGTAGAAATAAATGTGGTAAAAGTCAAATAGTTTTAATATGGTTCAGTCAAGTGGTGGCATTAATACAAATTAATGGTCTCTGATGTATGTTGATAGTCTGGGGTATGCAATATGGAGTTGACTTTTCTATAAAACCATTGCAGTTGAAGCACATAAAACAAACTAGTCACATTTGGTCAGAAGTACATGTAGACTGCCAACTGGTCTGGATTATGAGATAAATTGATTGATAGATGGCGCTCCTCAAGAGAGCCCAGCAGGGTTGGTCAAGGGCATAAGTGCTAGCTCAGCTGGTTTGAAAATTGAGATAGAAAGTAGATTATAAAGATAAATGGTTTTTGTGGCATTAATGCAGTGTATCTCAACCTATGTGAAGGTTGTTTGTGACCAGGACAAGTTTAGAAATTATTCCATTTCAGTGAAATTCCATTTTGCTTCCAGCTCATTTGTTAATATAATTAATATATAAAAATCTGCGAGTTTGACTTTTTTTTTAATTTAGCAATTTTAGTGAAAAAAGAGGAGGATGAGTAAGAGAGTCCAAAATTGGAGTCCTCTGGAGTGCTGGAGTGTATGGTTTTTTTTTTTTTTTTTTTGTCTGATTGTACTAGCACATGCACATCAAATACATGTACAAATACCAAGTGTAACATTACGGTGAAGTTAGGTGAAATCAGGCTTAGGTTCCCAACCAGCATGGCAGCTCCTGTCGCCTTCTTCTTTTGAAGTGGAGCCAGTTTTCCTCTTCCAAGCATTTCTTAATGGTCTGAAATGATGTGTTACTTGTTGAAAGTGCCAATTTCACCACTTGGTTTCATAGCTCAGTGATAGAATGTGGTGAGAATGTTTTATCAAGGATTGTATACTCTTACGTTCTTGACGCATCCAATGAAATCCTTGTCATGATTCTGTTATGGAAATATCAGCAAACTCATTTGTTCACCATTTACATGCACTTCTTGATTAGAGAGATGATCAGAATTGTGTTATAGAAATTGTATTTATCATACCAGTTCTAGATCAACTTGACTTCACAATGGAGCATAAATGAAAGTTTTTTCAAACAAAATAGGTGGTGCAGTCAGACAGTGTTCTTTATTGTCCTTCAGTAATGACTTGAAATTTCCAGTGGGAAAAAGTGAACAGTTTTTCAGATATATTATTTTAGAATCATTAAAAATATGTGTAGCATCCCTGGTGCTTTTTTTTCTGAATAAAAAAGAACCATAGGGTGGCTTGGTTTTCCGTTTGTTGCTACCACTATATAGGAGTCTTCTAATTTTGAAAATCTTCAAAAAGTTCAGTATTTGTAAAATTCATACTTTTTCGCATTGAAAAGATCAAATAAGCCATTACCTTACTTAGAAAATTTGTGTCAGGAAAAGGAAAACCACCAAGTTTTGCCTACCATTGGCTCAAGTCACTCTGTGTAAACTTGGCAGAACACTGACCTATAACTAGTATAAGTGAGAGTTCATATATCACCAGGACAGCTGCTTTAGTGGCCTTAGAAGAGAAATATATGCTATGGTGCATTGGTTCACCAGAGCAGGACAATTCCATTGGTCCTATATCATTCGGAAATGTTAACTTTTTCATTTCCTTTTCATATTAAGATTCTGATAGAAAGCAAAATGTAAAATCGTTGCCACTTTCTTCAGCTGTTAAGTTTTACGTACAGCCAGATCAGTGTTACTTATCCAGCTTTTATGCAGCCACTGGGTGGCATGTTTGCCAACTTTAGCGGACTTGATACATAAGATATGAAATATTATGTACAACACATAAAACAGTTGTTCTGTTTATGATAAGATGTTAACTGATGCTTGTGGGGGAACTAATAGTAAAAAAATTGGGGAAAACAATGGAACAGGTTTTTAATGCAGGAAATCCTGAGCTCTCTGGACTTGCAGGGTATTTGATTTATGGCGCTGTCACAAAGTACACATAACACCATTTGACAAATTGACTACAGTTTTGTTGTAACCCAATTTTACATTTTTTCTAACTCAGGTATTTTCTCTTACACATTTTTGTTGCATGTCTCTGAAACATGGCAAATAACCTATTTGATTAGAAATGAGAAAGATTAATTGTGAAAACTGGTTTTGTTTTTTTGCCTTTTCAAAATGTTGAAATGGCAATGGAAAATATATTGACACAAATGCTGGACACATGACAGTGTTACTATGACAGGTGTGGACATGTTGACACATTTGCTAGACATATGACAAAATTGCCATGGCAACCATAATATTATTGACACAAATGTTGGACATGCTGCATGTGTACAAAATGTTCCTAAGAATTGTTCTCTTGTTTTTCAGTAGCATTGTGCTGTATACCCATTTTATAAACACTTGGTATTTTCTCAACAAATTGTATTTTACATCAGCAGTTGGAAAGCAGCAATTAGTCCCCTGCATTTCTCTGGCAAAACAAGTTGTTTGGGGGTTGGCCATGTCTCCAGGTTTCTTAAACAAAACATCTGTACAAAGCCTCAAGAATTCACCTTGTCTCTGAACTCTGGCATGCATTTAGGTATAGAGCATCACTTTGAGAGAAATTCTGTCAATTTTGAGCATCCCTGGAGATTATACAAACCAAAACACCTGAAGCAAATTTAAATTTTTCACTTTAATTCTTAAATTCCATCCTAAATAGTACCCACTTACAGCTACAAATTTCTAAAAATTGCCCAGCAAATGCCACCAGTTCTAGCCATTACTGTGAACACTGCCACCTGCCATGGAGCTGGGTTTACTGAGTGGCTCTTATCAAGATCAATTTACTTAATCCAATATAGTAATTCTCTTCAAGGCTCCATGAATGAAGTATTCAGTATGCTGAGAAAACTGTGCAGCGTTAGGAGAGTAGAGAGCTGAAGTTTAAAAAAAATCCTGCAGAAACATACTTGTGGTTTGTCAGGGACGTTCTGTGTAGTACCACTAGTTTTATATTTCTTTTGGGAAACTTTTAAACTTTGAAAAAACAATTGACTGTGGCAATTAAGGAGATTTAAAATGCTTTGTAATAGGTGAATTGTTTAGACTATTTGAAAGAAAATGTCAAACAAGTGATGAGGCACTTTCACCTAATGAAGAAAGATAGAACACTTTTGCAATAGATTTTATCAAACAATATGAGATCACTGGCTGTGTACGCATTAAAAATGGAAATTTTAAAAGAAAAAATAAATTATAAATATGAATTTTTTGTCCTCACAACAATAAGCATTCAAAAAAATTCTACATGGGTGCAATTTTAAAAAACATCATCATCAGAGATGGTCAGCACATATATAATCACTGTGCTCTGTTCCATGTATTATTTCAAGTTTCAGAGCTTGTGCTGGATACAAGTCTCTGTCTGGAGTAAAATACCTCAGAAAAACCACCTTGGTTGTATAGCTGGTATTGTGAAGAAATATTGCCCTTGGGCAGGTCAAAGAAAACAGGCAAAGGATGAAGTAAAACTGGAGGCTAATTAGAACAGCATTAAGCACTTAGGGTTTATATTACAAACATTTACATCTTAGTTAGTTCCAGAAGTGTGATTTCAACTTTGGCCAAAGACCTAAGCCCGGACTAGTGGATTTTGACCCTCACTATGAGATATGGTATTTGAATATATATTTTCATTTTGCCAGTTTGAAGTCAAATCAGATTTAGACTGCTTACACATAGCAACCTGAAGGCAAATCCAAGTCTGTGCCCCAGTGGAAAACCACCCACTTCCCTCAAAAATAAAATAAATGATTACAAGAAATTCACATTGCTGCTGCCAATCATAATTTGCTCTTGGAACTTTTTGCTTAGATAGAAAGCACAACAAGTTTTCACACATTTTGAAAGAAATAACAGAGCTTTTTAGACAAAAACATCTTTTTAGGAATATTAGTTTACTAGGATGGCAAATAAACTCATCAATTGCACATAAAACCACATCTCTTTTAACAAATACAATTCTAACAGCCATTTTGCCCCACATACACGGTTAATAGAATAGTTACATGTATATATTTGGATATACAGAAGCATTACTGTACATGATTCATGTGGTTACTTCTTGCTCATACTGTCTGAGGCCCATTTCACAAGTGCTATACTTTTAAGTCATAAAAGAGTGACACATGGTATACCGGTACACTTTTAGAGGTCCTGACTTACACATGCCATTACATCACAGTGGGTTTACTCCCTTTCACCTTTTTTGATTCCTGTTGTTTATAGTTAAATAGATTGGCAGTGTTGAGTGCATATAGTAGGCTCCAATAAGGTGACTCATAACCAGGCCATTTAAGTGTATCAGTACAACCTAAACATGGTACAATGCTGAAGTATACTTCTTGATGTCAAAAGGGCCAAGGAGTATGTTGAATAGATTTTCATTATATCCCTCAAGGGACTGTTGGTGTGCTGGCTTTAACAAAGTGTGAAAGATAGAACTTAAATTATCTACATTAAAATACTTATGGCTTATGTACGTGTGGATATCAAAGACCAAGGGTTTCTTTTATGAGACCTATTTACATTTTATGAGTAGCAAAATAACTTATCCAAACATGGTTGCATTTCCAAATAGAGTTCTACGGGTGTCAGAATGGAATGATATCTAATGAAATATTCATGGTCCTTATTCTATGATCTTTGTAGTTTCTTTGAATAATGTAAGTGAATTAGCAGTGCAATGGATGTGATGTATATGAATGCATGGAGATAGTAATTTTTTGTTCTGATACTCCTAAAATAAAGGTGCTTGGCCCCTGTCAGCCCAAACATGGATTATAGATTACCTACAGCACTAGAAGTCTTTAATTGGCTTAATTTTCATTTCCACTTGCTTCAGAGAGTAGGTATAATCCTCTTTCCAATGGTACCAATGAATTCCACTGAAGAGGCCATCGGGGCCAATACGACTTCTCCCACCTTCGTTATATTGTCCATTTAATGAGGCGTAACTGCAGTCTTTGAACCACCATCCCGAGGCATCCTTCTTTGCACAATGTCCGTACCAGTCATCATTGTCACTGTCTGGGGTGCTGAACATAACGTTATCGTGATATGTGTTAATGGAGTCTCCTGCCGTTCCATGGTACCCGCTGGCATGCAGGCGGTAGTTGTATTCCTCGCTATCCACCACAAATTTTTCATAAAATGCATAAGCCTTATTGCCTTCCCAGTCCCACATATCAATTCTCAGACCATATTGCTTCCCATTTGTCATGCGGTGAATTTTTTCAAGACCAAGCCAAAATTCTGTGTTGGGATCACCAAAACCCTCCTTGTATTCATTCCAAAAGCGAGTGAAATTTACGGAGCCATCAGCACGGCGTTGTATTACTGTCCAGCCTCCACCTTCAGAGTCCATATCGCAGCGTACCAAGTTGATCTCACCATTATCCATCCTAAGAGGATAGACTCCTGACTTGTGAATTTTGCCAGTGCGAAGTAGATCCATACAATCTATAATTACAAAAATTCAAAACAACATAAATTTGTTCACTTTTCTATTATATAACTTAAAACTACTTGTATTCCAAGGGCTAGAAAAACATGACTAACATAATCATTCAAGTAAAACATTTACATAAGTTTCAAGAGAATGATTTATTTTGGCACTGTACTGTTGTCCTTTTAAATTTGGGGAATTAAAAACTTAAGGAAAATACACATCTGTGCCCACACTTATTTCTTTTTCAAAGAAAGAAGGAAATGCCATTGATTTAACTTTTAACTTATTTGTAATTTGTATGCTAATAGATGACTAATTCTGCAAGAATAGTGTTACAAACCACTTTCCTGCATATAACATGTCAACATATGAGATATAAAAATTGACTGGAGAAAAACAGGTAAGAAAAAAAAACAGGTTTTGAAACGGAACAAAGCACTTCCATGTGTCAAAATAAAATTAGATTTGTATTTCATTAATAATGTTTGTCTTATTTAATTGAGCCATGCTTTAAACACAACTGTACAACTTGTATAAAAGAAACTTTAAAATGTAAGAACATCTAGGTAACACCTGATAGCAGAAATGTATGTGTAGGCCCCACAGAGATCTTAATATTGTTAAAAATATACATGTTGTTTTGGATAATTTAAAAATGGACATATATCACCCCCCCCCTCAAAAAAAAAAAAAAAAATATATATATATATATATATATATATATATATATATATATATATATATATATATATATATATATATATATATATATAATAAAAATTGAAATTTTTTTTTCAATTAAGTAAGTAACCCATTTTCACACAGCTTCGTACATGGCATGGATGTAGTTTAAGAAGATTGGTCATCAAATGTTTATTCATTGTTTTCTTGATAATTATTTACATATTACTCATGAGGGAATCTTGAATTAAACAAATCTGTATGTTTGCTTACCTAATTTTAAAGGGAGATCTCTTGGTATATAGAACAGTGCTTTGGCAGAATCTTTGGCAAACTGTTCTTTGGCCATGTCTTTTACTATTCCAAGCTTCTTTTCTACTGCTGTCAGAACCCTGCAAGTAACATTGGCATTGAAAACAGAATCAGTATTTTTTTCAGGGTTAACCATAACAAAAAAAGGCATCATACTGGTATAATGTGTAAATAGATCAGCTGTTAATAATACTGTCAGCACTTTGCTGAAAATGCTTCAACAATGTAGAAAAGAGTAGGACTGAAAATACTGAAAAGTGTTTTCTTTTTTGTTTTTTTGAACATTAATACTGGATATTACAGACACTCTTTCCCCTTTTCTGACGAGTATTATATACAAGCATGTCGCTTTGTGGTTCTCTAAATTTGGCAAAATTTTTCCACATCTGTGTCTCATTTCACAGCCGAATTTTAAGGGAAGCCTGCACATTTCTACCCTAAATATGTATAGAGGTTCACCTTGTATATGTGCCAGATAAATGACACTTGTGTAGTACTACATTTTAGCCAAATAAATGGAGTGTCCTTCACCCATTGTTGATCCGAAAGTTTTTATCTTCTTTGTTAAATAGTTAACCATCCTATGATTAGCTTTGGAGACCATTTGATGTGGTTTACAATGACAATGGTTTGGGAATTGTAATACTTTTAATTGTAGAGGACGGCTCTCCTAAACCAGGGTATGGTTATAACACTGTACGTGTACACATTAAAGGTGAAAATGATATAGAAATAATTTTTAAGTCATATTTTTGCTTGACTTGGACCTTAACACATTTTCAGGTCAAATGGAAAATCAACCACTTTTTATATGTTGTTTAACATCTTTAGCATCAAGTTACATTTTTGTACCTTCAGAACAAATCTGATCTGATTTGGGGTTAATCGGTGCATTTCCACAGCTGTTTTATACTTTGTCCAAACCCTGCATATTTCAAATAATTATTTGCCCTTCAGGTGCTTCAAATTCTTCTCATAACATACAAGTTCTCTGCAAAATAAATGGTGAACAAACTGGAAAGATTGCCTCACTTTCAAACACACTCCCAGCCGGTGGTTCATACTCAGGTGGTAGCCCTAACCTCTTTTAAGCTCTAGCTTCAGGTTCAAGGGGTTTTATGACCATATGTGCAACACAGTGCAGGTTATTCTTCTGGACAAGCCATGGGGTGCTTGCCAGTGTGTGGACTACTGGACATACAGTCTATCAGTTTCAGATGTCACTTAATGTTGTTCTCTTGCAATCACATTTCGTGTTACCAGGCAGCTGACTGGGGGCCTTGTCTTGGTATATAATCTGGTTTATTTGCAATAATAGGGCAGTGTGATACCTGCACCCAATTAAAACTAGCGTTGTGAAAGGCTGGGGTTGAGCCTGCAGACTGACCTTCGCATGAGAACAATACCAATGCGACTGTTTTAAACTGATGGAAAACAGCTTGTTGAATGCAATGGCGGGATTTGGGGTTTGCTCTAAATGGTGAAACTTGGATGTTATTGCTCCAAGAATATATTTTATTTTCTGATTTAGTTTAAAATATGCCTTTTGAAATATCACTAATAGTCTGTAAGGTTGAAAATATGATGATATTTTTTTTACAGTAAATCCATTTGAAATATTTATGAAACATGCAAACCTTTTTCGTTGGACAAGCTTCACAAGAAAAAGTCTACCATCTGGTTGGTGATCAGACTCAAATGCCATCCAAACATCTCATCAGCTGTGTAAAGTTACATGAATGAGTTGTAATCTTCCGGCAAATGTGTGATGTTTATTTATAAAATATTGGGATCTGGTAATTTTCCATAAAGGCTTTTTCTGCTAATGAAACATTATGAAGAGTACCAGTAGACCTGAAGGCAAATGACCCAATGAAAAACTTGTGTTTGGAAAAATTTTAACATCAGTCATGTTAGATGTTGTTAACTTTCACAAGATAAAACATGTCTTTGGAGCCCAAACCTCCATGCAGGGATATTGGTGTCACAATAAAGTGGATCAATTGGAAAGGAATATTGTCAAATAGATATCTTAGAGGAAGAAGGCAACTCACTGGTGAGAAATATGCCATTACAGCAGATTTTGATTTCCAGACTTATCACAAAAAGACCAATGTCAAATTTATATTAAATAATACCATTTATTCAAAACACTATACCAAGGTTTCTGAATCAATTACCAAAACCGGTGACCCTGTCCTACTGTGTGAGCACTCACCCTAAAATGCTCCTGAATAAATTCTGCCTGTCCTCTTTGTCCTGTTGCATCTCCTGTTTGATCTGCTCCAGCAAGAGGCAGGTGTGTTCATTCTGCAGCTCTGGGGACAGCTTGCGAAACTCCATACTGGCACATGTACTTCGACTCTGCGACTGGGCTGGGGTCCCACCGAGCCAGGTGACGAGCAGCAGCAGCAGGGTCAGGCAGTAGGGACTGAAAACCCATTTACAATTAGTGTAGTTACTTTCTGACACTTCTTTGGTGGTATTGTGCTTTTAGGGTTCATTCCCAATGAAGCTTAGGTGGGTCTATGTAGATTGATCCAACTCTATCGTCAGATAAACAAATTAACACACCTTCTCCTCTTGTTTCCAACATATTTGTATAATCACCTGCTTTTCTGCATTCTACTCAAAGTCAAGAGGAGGAGTGTTGATCAGTTAATCTGACTGCATTCAGCAAGAGCCCCCATGGATGGAGCTACATAAAACAATAGTTAACTTGGGAACGAGCCCTTGGTGTAGTTATTTTCTGACACTTCTTTGGTGGTATTTTCACTAAATGTGGGGTTCTCAATTCAAAAGCCAGGGTGGTTCGATCTGCTGGTTCATATCATACTTTCAATCACTAGGACTGAACTGAACAGACGGAAGACTTTGATGAAAGTACAAAGAGAAACTTTGTTTGTGAATGTTATCTGTATGCCATCTTTGGTAGTAATTTTTAGATTGATATATTTATAAGTATGCTTTTGTGCTTTTCTGGTTTTAACATTTCTCTGTGGATCAAATACAGAGGTCCTTTGGTTGGAGTAAATTTATAGCTAATCTTTTGAATGAAACAATGAAAAGCAGTTGGTGAGAAAATTTCTGTAATTTTATATGGTCTTTTAAGTGCTTGGCTCCTGAATTATAAATAAGAACACTTCAAACATCTTGAAATGTGTTCTTAATCCGGAACCTGTGTATCCTGATAGTATTTAAGTACACAGTCAACAGATTGTTGCCTTGAGTTAGCGCATTATGTGATCTATTTCCTTTTGTTCTCAGTAACAGTTAAGTGACATTACTTAACTGCTTTTTCCTTTGTCTTGACTATCTCATTGCAGTAAATGGATACAAAAACATTTTTTTGTGATTTTTGTACTGCCTGCATTGAAAATACCAACAGGTTTCTTTTGTAACCACATCAAAACTAGCGTCTCTTAGACACCGTCCCAATTAGCTAACTACCACAAAGTGCACTGCCTCAAGAATCATGCAGGAACATGTCTGGTCTTGCAAATGCTATGTGGATTTCTCCTGCTGTTCTACCAACTCACTGGTGCCAACAAAATGAAGGGGTAGTTACGACAGATTTGGCCTTTAAATCTGGACCTTATTAAAATCATAAAAAAATTATTTCTGCATTGGATAACTTAATAATATTTCACACAAAGGCAATCATAAATGTATAACTTTTTTGTAATTGCCACGTAGCAAAGCTCCACTATCATAATAAATCTCATTTTTCATTCTTTTCACTCCATCAACCTTGATAAACTACATGTACAACAAAGATTTCTTTACCATGCAAGCACCATACACTTCATGTAATATCCCTTATGCCATCTCACTGACATGTTTTCCCAAAACACACAAGTCTGTTTATCAATTTACCTCCACAGTTCGTGCTTTACCAGGGTTCATTCAGTTCCTCCTCCAAGTGTTCCACTTACCTCATGTTGCTGCTGGTCTGTACTCCTTATTTGTGTGGGTGTGTGGCACAGTAAGAATACTTCAATTTGACAGTGTTACACCAGCAGCCCTCCTCATATTGGCCCAGTGCTGATGGACCTTACTCAATTTGATGCCAGAGAAAGCAATTTTCTGCTTGCTAGCTATGCTGAGGGGCCGTTTCTTTAAACTGTTCCAACTCCCCGTCTCTCTGGTTTGTTATTGTTTCAACCTGTTAATAGAAAGTGGCATAAGGCCAATTTTAGTGAAGTGAACACATATGGGGAACAGGAAGGCATAGGGGCTGACTGTGCTCTCTGTCTTTCAGCTGCCCATACACAGTGCATAGATGGCTTTTTAGAGGTGTGAAGAGAGATCAAGTATAAATGTACATTTCATTGCAAATTATGAATTATGTCATGCATTGGGTTAATATGTCTGTAGATATAATAACAATTAGGCAATGGAATAACATTTGCAAATTTTCTAATTCTTCAGTTTTGACTTTATTTTTCTGATTTATTTTTCTGATTGTGGAAAAATTTTTCATTTTTTTCATTCTTTTTTCTTTTATTTGTTTTTCATTTTTTTTGTGTGTGTGTGTGATGGGGGGGGGGAGAGGGGGCGAATGTCAGTTTACAGCATATTACCTATCTAAGCCTATATAAGGCAAAGGTTTGATGTTATTATTCAACTTTTGATAATCGTGTTTTTGAAATTCAAGTTCCTTATAGGAATAAATTCCCTGAATGTTTTCTAAATTTCATTTAAAAACAACTTCATTAGATTGAAACAAACAGCGCAAAAATAGGGGGAAAAAAAGCACACACTCACGCACAAGAAATTGATGACTTCACTTTAAGAGTTTTAAGTTAAGAAAACACTTCCAACAACTGACCGGTTTCATGGCAGTATAAATTGCACATAAAGAACTATTGTTAAGTACAATGGAGAGGTTGGGAACCTGTGCCTATCAGTCAAATGCGAGTCCCACCCTGTCATGGGGAACTCTATAGCTTCTACTTCCTTTGGTGCTGCAATATGCAAGGCATGCACATGTAGCATTGTTGAGATTCTGAGAACTATAGAGAATGTATTGGGTACCAGCACCTGCCTTTGTCAGCCAAACCAGCCAAAATGCACAATGTGCACACCTAACACAATGCCAATTGCTTTCTTGAGTTACTAGACAACTTACATAAAATAGAGCATAATATTATATCCCAGAAGTACAGAGTGGTTTTGTAGCTACCACAATAACCAGCAGAGAATGACACATGCACTTCATATTTTTAAAAGCTTGTTTCATCAGTTATTCATTTCCATAATTTTAAAAACTTTCTATGAAACAACATTGAATCCTGTTTCTCTCTCCAGGGTAAAGGCACAATGAATACATACTGGCTGGCTGGGGTTAAGAATGGCAGTACAGACAAAGAAGAGGCAGACAACACCCTGAAGTCACATCTTGAAGTGGCAGGAAAAAAGGAACTCCAGAGGAAGAGGTAGCCAGATAATTTTATAATATACATGCCACATTTTTAAAATTAAGATTTTATTACCTATACGTAACATGAGAGATATTTTGAAAATCTTTTTTTCAGCTATACTGATTGATATTGAGATAGTGAGGACTGCAGGGTAAATGTCAGTTTAAAATATTAATATTTATTAGTATTATTTATCTTTATTTTCCAGTTCATTCCCAGGATTTGATCTTCATGCCTTAACCCACGCCAAAAGCTGCTCAAACATGAATCACACAAATGGTAAAAACTTTCACATTTTAATTCATTAAATAAAGAAAACACAAGCCTGTTCAGTTTTGTCTGCTTTTTGTCACAGTATTGTCAGAGTGTTCCTTTATTAAAAAAACAAGAACTGAAATGGATCACGATCACTTTATTAGTACTTTTTCCTTAATGCCCAACTTCAGTTTCACTTCTTTCAATAATTTTAAAAAATTATGGAAATGCCTTTTCAAGATCAGTTTTCTTCCATCTTCACATTTGAACAGTGCATTGCCTTCTCTTGCCACTATAATGTATGTGTGATTCCTGGTTTTGATGGGTCATAAGCACCTCATTCAGTACATATGCTGTGGACATTGTACATTTAAGTCACAAAATCATATACATCCATTAATGTTTATTTTGTCCTTTAAATTAAGTTCTTTGTGTAAGCAGTTTCTGCTGTCTTTAGGAAAAGACTCATAAATGCACTTTTTTCCAGGAGTTGATCACGAATACATAATAAAAGAGAAAAATAAAGCTCCTCTGCAAACTGCGCGGGGCAGCATGGCATAGGAGACAAGGAGGATCAAAGCTGATGCATGAAGTGCCACAAAGAGAGAGCCCTAGGCATAGGTATCCTGGGTCCAGGTTGTCTCAAAAGGCAAAACCATCTACTTATCCATTTCCACTTGACTGTTAAGTATTTTGGCTGAAGGTTACCTGGGTATCTAGGAAAATGAGATTACCTTCAGCTGGAACAAAACTCAGGGTAGGCATGGGGAAATTTTGTCAAATTACAAAATTGAATGGAGATATTCTGAGCAGAGAATTGAGCAAAGGACAACTGGGCAAATATGGCCTTGATGGAAAAAAGGACAAGAAAAATGTAGTCAATCATCTCCTATAGATATATTTCTACCTACACTTGTGTCTTTCACGGATGACAATGGTCATCCTTTTCCACTGTAGTGCATTTAATGAATGTTAAGGGAAACACTTAATAAATTTAAATCTAACAATAATCCCATCATGTTAACCAAGTGGGACTAGTCTAACTTGGACAGGAGACAAGAATTTTCAGCTGGCATACACTAACAATTACTTGACAACTGCTGCAAATGTCAACAAAGTTATAAATATAATGGCATTAAATTATATCAAGTGTTAGTTAAAGTGTTGAGAATTAAGTAATAACAGAAGCTGAAATGAAATGTACCACTGATCTCATCAGTCGTTTTTTTTTTTTCGTTATGACAATACTCATTCACTCTCTCTCTATATATATATATATAGTCACATTGTCATGCAAGTGACATGTATTATAAATGAAAATGAATAACAATTATATTGGTCAAAAAAGTTTTACTTTCTTAGATTCTATATATGGATAAAAACCAAAATGTATACAATAAAAACAATCAAAACATACCACAAATGCTAGTTGTTTTTCTTATATTTTTTTTTTTTTTTTCAAAGGTGTAGGTAATGGGATTTTAAGGGGTTTTCAAGTGCTACTGCATAGAGTGGTATAAAATCAATTGTTTCTGAAGAGTGTTAACACGTTTTGCTGGTTAGATGTTTCAATCCTTCATAAAAACACCTTAAACACAACTACTTTTACCATCTTTACAGGAGAAACTGAAAAACCCTGTTCCATTTTAATTCAACTGAATAGTAAGAACTGTTTTCATTCCAGCAAATTCACTTAGGGTTAAAATGCAGTTCTTCAAAAGCCCCTTGACATTGTCAAAGAGAACTTTATATCATCAGCCAATGATGTTATGAAGTAAAAACAAGAGAAAATAAAAATCCTATTCCAGCACAATTGCAGCTGGAAAGATGACAAAGGAAGGAATGTATGCAATTGTTCATGTGTTTCATGAAAAAATAATCTAACTAAAACATACTCCATAATACTAAAACATACTCCTAGGGTAGTTTTGAGAGTAGAACTTGATTGACGGTTGAGCAGTACCAGGGAATCTTTGACAACCTCAAGAATATATCTGTTGCATTCTTCTGTACTAAACTCCTGCATGTAGTCCTGCAAATACCCCATACATAAATATTGAAATACAGGGGGTCATGGTATGATTTGTCATAGCTCAAAGCACCTTTCAATATCAGAAGAAAAACACTTTGTTAACTGCAGTTACAAGTTGCTCATAATTTGCGAAAAATTCATGTTTTGACGGAGTGAGTTTTTGCTTAACTGTACAGGGTACGCGCTACAGTTTGAGGTAGTTTTTAACTTGAGCTCTGGACTGAAAAAATTACAAAAAAGTCAGTTATTTAAAAAAAAAAAAGCAACATATATACAGAATATGCAGCCCTATTGTAAAACAGCACTGTCAATAGCAGGGTGAGATGGAAGTCTGGAATACAACACAAGTAATGTTTGGTCCCTCATGGCATACACTGTCTGACTAGTGGTAGAAGCTTCCCCTCTTTTTGCAGCCTGTTGGTGTCATCACTGCCTCCTATGTACTGGCCATTCACAAACACACTGGGGACCTGAAATGAACAATAAGCCATTTGTATTGTTGAAATCACCCCAAGAAATTAGCACAAAAAATATATGTAACAAATTTTATTTAATAAGAACATCAAAGAATTAATGTCTAATATCAGTCCAGAAAAACAAACAAATTGTATAATAACTTTTAAATAATTGAAATAAATATGGCAATGCCATTGTTTTACCTAATCACCTTTATAACATCAAATTCAGCAACATGTCAGGACATCACAATATATAAGGGGAGAATTAATGCACATGACATTGATTTTATCAGTCATTACCAGTAGAACAGTTTCAGTATGTCTTGGTATGTACTGCACTTCAGCTTTTAAGGAAACATTAAGAATGAGTTTTGTCAAACTAGTTAATGCTCACTTACTCCAATGCAATAAGGGCTCCGTATCTCGAAAGGTTCGCTATGTTGCGCACATGCGCAAGTGTCTCGATTCCATAACCGATTCTATTTCGAGATATGGGGCCATGGAATTGAGACGCTTGCGCACCTGTGCAACATAGCGAACCTTTCGAGATACGGAGCCCTGATTAACAGACTTACACACCTCGTTCTGGCATATGATAGAATAAAGAAAAGCTGGTGATTATGCAAGTAAGTTGGAAGTTAAAGGAGGTGGAGTAGACTGGGTACCCATAATCCTATTGTACTAGCTGGATCCATCGAACTCTGAGAGGATTCTCACTAGACTGCATTCAGTTCAAGCAGCTAAAATGTCTGTCACATCCACTAAAGCTGCCAGGGGTGTAATTAACTATTGTGCACGCTTAAACTGAATGCAATTTAGCGAGAATCCCCTCGGAGAGAAAATTGATCCTGTTGGTACGATAGGGTTATGGGAATGGTTCCTAAGTCTGCTAATCTGATTGCCTTTAGCAAGAGTTCATGGAGTTAGTGCGCATTAACTAGGTTGGCATAACTCATTCTGAATGGTTCCTTAGAAATGTTACTGTGTTTATACTCACTGTAGATGAACCAGTCATAACTTGTAATTCCTGTTGTATAAGTGGTCCATCATCTCTGCAGTTCAACTCTATGGACTTGTATGGCACTTCTAGCTGGTCCAGTAATCTTTTGGTCCTCTTGCAAAAACCGCAGCTTGTCTTAGAGAAAATTGTGACACAATTCTTAGAGACTTCTTCATTTATAAACTGATGAATGGCTGGAGATGGCTGAGATACCCTGCCTCCCATCCTGACAACTGAACCAGAGTGGAACTTAGCTAGATTGTGTTTGGTGAGACTGTCCTGGTTGTGTTTGCTGAGACAACCAAAATTGTGTTGGGATACACTAACAGCACTGAACTTCTCTTGATTGTGGTACGTGAGACAGCGGTTTACTCTCCAGATGTGCCTCAAAGCTTCAGTTCTTGTTCTCAACATCAGTGCTGGTTATGCAAAGAGAAAATAAAACAGAGCATATCTTAATATATATTAACACATGATTTTTCATGCTTTACCAGTGGTAATGCAAATTTTCATGGTATTGATATTCCATAATATTCCGCATCATTCATAATGAAGTATACTGTATTATATTTTGCTATATTTAATGAGTGCATACATTCGTGAGTAAGGCCACATTCAGAACAGCACATTAACTACTAGTAGTCCACGGGTCAAATATGGCCCACCCACTTTAATACTTCCCCATGGAAAATCTATTCAAAGTCTATTAGCTGATTAGATGGCAAGCTTTTTAGTCGGTCGCCATATATGGCCTGTAGACTATATAGTCAGTCCACTGTTCTGAATGCAGCATAATACCAATACCGGTGTGGCGTGTACCGCTCGGAGCGTGAACAATCCGTTCTGCTCATGCGCACAAAGCGCAGGCAAATCTGAGAGACTTCCGGCGTGTACAGTCCGTCTCAATAGAGTCATGAATACATTCTTAGCCTTTAATAAACATGCGCTGTTGAGAACATACTGCAAATTAAAACATAATATTTAGAAGTATTCATATCTTATAGATGTTCACCTCTACTGTGATTTCCCTCAGGTGGCCATATCAACACACTAGCCTAGTAAAATCAGTACTAAAATGGTAGCCAGCAGCTGAATAACGACGGCCCGTCCATGGTAGGTTCATCCATGCATCAAGCTGTAATTTGACGCTGATTCTCTATCAAAATTATCAATTAACACATGAACTTTATCCCCATCATAGTAAATGTATAATTTGGTAGGGAATGAACTAGCCGAATATAACAGTACAGGTGAGTAACAACGGATCATTCACGGAACGGTTCATACACGCGTCTGCTGCGTGTACAATCGGTCAGGACGGATGGTTCACGCAGAACGGACCGTACACGTGACACCGGAACAACAATTTAAGGTAACTAGCAGAGTAAACCAGGCAAATAAAAATCTACTGTAAATCTACTAGTTAACAGCGGGGCAATAAGTACAAACTCCACAACACCCCAATTTCTCCTGAACACTCCAATCTAAATTATATAAATCAAACAGACACTGTAGTTACTCACTTCTTGTGTTATGTATGATGAAATTAAAACCTTGAGTTGAGGCAAAAAAAAAAACTCGTCTGACCTGGATCAGTACTTTACAGAAATTCCGAACAGTAATATGGTACAAAACACCAGTTGTGATTGAAGACCACAAAGTAATAAGTGCCAACACCGAGTTTTCTCGTGCTTACATCCGTTCTGTCCCTATCAGATCTGAGATCTTGATTTGTCCTCTTATACCCGAGGCCACGTGTGACCATTGACCTCGATTTCCTCAGTTGTTATGATCACGCTGAAGTCACATGACTTTATATTTTCTGTTTAGTTTCCTACATTATCAGTTCATGTCCCCTCTTCAAGAAATTATTTATCAGTTAAAAGAGTTTTCAAGTCGTTTATTTTAGCGTTATTTGGAGGAAATTGCGGTACTTACTTTCGCTGCCGAAAGAAAATGTCACCACATCTCACGAGAAAGTTAGAGATTTAAGATGGTGGGTGCTGACGAAGAGGAAAAGTGAATCTTTGTTATTGTTTTTATTTTCCATTCATTTCGGAAATATTTCTCATTGAGAAGGAAAGGCTCTGTGGAACCAAGATGTGGGTAAAGCCAGAAGAGGTCTTACTTGCCAATGCACTATGGTAAGCTTCAGAAAATAAATGGTCAAATAATAACTATAACGACTTGGTCTAATTCATTTTCCAAAATTACTACATGACATTGACAGTAAATTCAGTGACAAATATTGCAAATCGCATTTGTAGTGATGTAAACGTAGGTCCTGGTTCTTTTATTACTGTGTTATATGCGTAACATTTAAATAATGGAGAACGATTAAAATTGGACATCTTAATTAATCGCAATGGACATCTTAATTAGGGATGAAAAATTATGTTCATTCATGCTAGAAGTCCCAAAAGTTCAGTATTGTGGAATACAAAGTGTGAATCCTCATAATACTGCAAACGGATATCTGTTACTGAAAAGTGTTATAAAAGGGGCAGTAACACCTGAGTGCTAGTTTTTACAATTACTTCAATTTTCACGTAAACTGTTTATTTCCAGGGTAACAGAAAGAGCCAATCCATTTTTCATCTTGCAGAGGAGGAAAGGCCGAGGTGGGGGTGGTCTCACTGGATTGCTGGTTGGAACAATGGATGCTGTGCTAGATAACAAAGTACTGATGGATTGTTTAACACATAATAGATAGCCGACCTTCAATATTGATAAGCTAGCATAATATAGACAAAAATAGACTTTATTAACTAATGAGAGTCAGAAGCTAAAATGAAATTTTATCTGACTTAATATATTCCAGTTATTAATCATTCATTGACAAAATCAAATATGAAGCATGTTGAGGGTTTTCATTGTCTCTTTTGTATAAATAGATTAAATTGCTTTCAAAGAGACTAAACATTTTCACCAATGAGGCTTGGTATGTTAACTCTCTAGCAAAGGGCCATTGTCTCTTTGGAATGGATTTACTTTTTGTACCATAATGTACACTCAATATTGATGAATTTGTACTCTTTTTTTAGACCCCACCATATAGAATACTGCATCAGACAACTAACTCAGAAGTCAGCTATGGTGAGAAATACAATTTTATTTTTGTGACTTGGGTGAAAGTACCTTTATATGTTAAATCAAAAGCACTTGCTGACAAGATTTGCCAATCCAGGTAGTACCTTCAAAATGCTAATAAGCCACATCAAGGAGATATCCTGCATTCTGAAAATAATTCATGAGATGTGGCTAGGTCTGCAATAAATTATTTATATATTTGACCAATACTACGTGATGTATAAGAAGTTATAATTAATATGGCATCCTGGAAGCAATCATTTTAGAAGTGTAAAGATGTTTTAAGCATGAAAGATATTTTCCTGTTTGTAATGATAAACATTCCCATTGCCAGGGAGCATTGGGTATGATATCTGTGATGCTGAAAATTGGTTTACAGGAGTTAAAACATGTTAAGTCTCTTTAAAAGCAATTTAATCTACAGGAGTTGCTGTGGCCAACAGCAAGAGGGAGATATTCAAGGACTGGGAGTGGCTGGAACAGCATGTGATGGAAACACTGGGTAAGTGCAGGGCAATAAACCAACAGGTGCTTCTGGGGGTATGGTGTCCAGCTCACGTAAATCAAGAATATCACTCTCTTCATTGTGAACTGATAAAGATGAATATTTTAGAAACTGAGTGGTTTAATTGAGCGCTGAAGCCAGTAAACCTGCTTGGGACAAGCAATGTATTGGTGTTGACAATTCAGTCAAAGTATGCGCATATCTAGTAATGCATGGACTAAAGAGTGCTGAGGAATTGACAATTTATTGATCACACCTAGTGGTGACTTGTGTATGGCAGCCTGGTGCTACTGTTTGTGTTCCACTTCACTTTACATGTTATTCACTGTAACACATTTCCTGTGAAAAGTTGGTAGTCTTCCTAATATATTGATGCAAGGATCAATAGAATTCTAATAACTATTGTTGTGATGTTTTGATAGCATTTATTGTAGAAGTGAGTAGCCTAACTATCACATTTGGCATTTCTCATAAGAGTTAACAAGCAAATGAGAAGTAAATCCCAATGTTGGGGGTCTGCCATATATAACATTGTTTGAAATTCTAGTGTTCTATAATACCATGATATCAACCGATTAAGAAAAAGATTTCTGTGAATTAAATTTCATGTTTAAGGCTTTGATCTGATTATTCAAATTGATTTATATGAAAAATGAACAAGATTTTTCTTTTTTTTTTGTAAATTTTTAGATACTTTTGAAAATGAAGATGATGCCACTGAATTTGTGCGAGGAAAGATCAATAGTCTGGTTGCCAATGTTGTTACAGATGATGATGGCAAAGACGGTATGTTAATTGATCTGAAAGTGTAAATTCTGGTTATGTCAACAGAAAACAACATGGTGTGTTTTGCAGACATACAAAAAACCTTTTAAACCAGTCAGACTTTTGGACTGGCAGTTAGGTAAATTTTCCCTGGCCAAAGAACTTTTTGATGGAATGACTGCAAATTCAAAATAAGCTCTCAAATTTGTTTGCCTGGCACTTAGACTGACTGGCTGAACACATTTCTCTATCAGTTCTTGAAAATGTTTGGGTCCTGACTATTAGAACCAACCGTTTCAGCATATTTTTTATGGCACAGACAATCTTTGTGAGCTGCTTTGATAATCATTGGTTAAAACAGCAATAAGATGTGGTATTTTTTATGTGGTCTTTGGGTTGTCCTTTTTCCACTGTCAGAAATATGTATAATTTAAAGACTTGTAACCAGTCACATGTATTATGTAGAGATCAAGTAAAATTTTTTGTCATGTGTTTTGTTTCTTACTTTCAAAGATGAGGAGACTGCTAATTTCAAAATAGCTTCCAGAAGGTTCCACAAGATGTTCAACATGCCTAAAGAGGAAAAACTGGTCAACTGTAAGTAAAGAGAATTAAAAAGTATATTCTTCTGTTACAATGTATATTTTATAAAATTATGTAGTAGCTAAATAGATTATCATTATTATTATTAGTAGTAGTAGTAATCAGCATATCAGGATGAGCATGGCATTGTGACAGTGTGATGTGATAACAAACACTTGATATCTACGTCATATTTTCAGACTACTCCTGCAGTTACTGGAAGGGAGGATTACCTCGGCAGGGATGGGTGTATTTGAGCGTGAACCACCTCTGCTTCTACTCATTCCTCATTGGCAAGGAGGCCATGTTGGTTATCAGATGGACAGATGTTACGGTGATTACCATGGTTTTTTGTTTGATTTTGATATGGTTTATACCAGTAATACACTGATTGCACCAAGTTTGAGGGATTTTAAAGAAATTCTGGTACTTTTGCTAGGCTGTTAAAGTTAAATGGCCAATTGGCGTTCTCCAGTCTGTTGTCCACTGTGTTAGTTTTAATCAGCTTTGTAATACATTTCCAGAAATTGGAAAAGGGGAACAACATGATTTTCCCAGACAGCATTAGAGTAAATACAAGAAATCAACAGGTAAGTGACACAGTTTTCATTTTAACGAAGCCTTCACACCTCATATTGACACAATATTTTTATTGCAACCCTGTATGTGTCACACTTGCTATTTTATATGTATAAGTGACATTTATATTTGATACAAATTTCATATTATTTCTCTGTCAGCATGTGTTTTCCATGCTTCTTCGCAGTGAAGAGACATTTGGATTGATGGAGCAACTGGCCAACATGGCTATGAAACAGTAAGTGGCATATTTGGCAAATAAGAATTTTTACAGTTCAGCCTCAGTGTGAATAGAGACATGCTGTTTTATAGTGTACACAGCATTGAAAATGAGGCTCTTTGTCATCATCAGTTTGGTGGCAGCACATGGTGTGGACAGCAGAATTTCAGTAGATGGCAGATGGTTCTTTCACTCATAATGGTAATCCTTTCTTCTACTTTGTCCAGGCCAGAATCAATTAACCTAGGTTAGTATCTCCTTAACAGTATTAGGATCTCTTTAATAGTATGTCTATGAAGTTATTAATTATTTTAAGATAAAGTGATAATTGGACATTCTTCCAGGCTGCTGTCAGAAGAAACATTTGAAGAAGACAGAGATCTGATGCTGAAAATTAAGTGAGTTGGAATTGAATTTTATGGGTGGAATATGAAAGTTTTAACAACAAATTTTATTTCTTTTCAAACATCTACACCCTACATCACAACAGATGGTAATATAACACTTGCTATATGCATACTTTATCATCAGTACATTAGAAATGTTTCATAATATTTTGTAGGAAAAGTACTCCAAAGAAAGTCCCTCTTTTGNGATAAATTTAAATCTAACAATAATCCCATCATGTTAACCAAGTGGGACTAGTCTAACTTGGACAGGAGACAAGAATTTTCAGCTGGCATACACTAACAATTACTTGACAACTGCTGCAAATGTCAACAAAGTTATAAATATAATGGCATTAAATTATATCAAGTGTTAGTTAAAGTGTTGAGAATTAAGTAAAAACAGAAGCTGAAATGAAATGTACCACCGATCTCATCAGTCGTTTTTTTTTTTTTTTCGTTATGACAATACTTACTCATTCACTCTCTCTCTATATATATATATAGTCACATTGTCATGCAAGTGACATGTATTATAAATGAAAATGAATAACAATTATATTGGTCAAAAAAGTTTTACTTTCTTAGATTCTATATATGGATAAAAACCAAAATGTATACAATAAAAACAATCAAAACATACCACAAATGCTAGTCGTTTTTCTTATATTTTGTTTTTTTTTTCAAAGGTGTAGGTAATGGGATTTTAAGGGGTTTTCAAGTGCTACTGCATAGAGTGGTATAAAATCAATAGTTTCTGAAGAGTGTTAACACGTTTTGCTGGTTAGATGTTTCAATCCTTCATAAAAACACCTTAAACACAACTACTTTTACCATCTTTACAGGAGAAACTGAAAAACCCTGTTCCATTTTAATTCAACTGAATAGTAAACTCAATAAAAACCCTGTATGTTTAAAGAACTGTTTTCATTCCAGCAAATTCACTTAGTGTTAAAATGCAGTTCTTCAAAAGCCCCTTGACATTGTCAAAGAGAACTTTATATCATCAGCCAATGATGTTATGAAGTAAAAACAAGAGAAAATAAAAATCCTATTCCAGTATAATTGCAGCTGGAAAGATGACAAAGGAAGGAATGTATGCAATTGTTCATGTGTTTCATGAAAAAATAATTTAACTAAAACATACTCCTAGGGTAGTTTTGAGAGTAGAACTTGATTGACGGTTGAGCAGTACCAGGGAATCTTTGACAACCTCAAGAATATATCTGTTGCATTCTTCTGTACTTAACTCCAGCATGTAGTCCTGCAAATACCCCATACATAAATATTGAAATACAGGGGGTCATGGTATGATTTGTCATAGCTCAAAGCACCTTTCAATATCAGAAGAAAAACACTTTGTTAACTGCAGTTAACAAAGTGTTTTTCTTCTGATATTGAAGAAAAACACTTTGTTAACTGCAGTTACAAGTTGCTCATAATTTGCGAAAAATTCATGTTTTGACGGAGTGAGTTTTTGCTTAACTGTACAGGGTACGTGCTACAGTTTGAGGTAGTTTTTAACTTGAGCTCTGGACTGAAAAAATTACAAAAAAGTCAGTTATTTAAAAAAAAAGCAACATATATACAGAATATGCAGCCCTATTGTAAAACAGCACTGTCAATAGCAGGGTGAGATGGAAGTCTGGAATACAACACAAGTAATGTTTGGTCCCTCATGGCATACACTGTCTGACTAGTGGTAGAAGCTTCCCCTCTTTTTGCAGCCTGTTGGTGTCATCACTGCCTCCTATGTACTGGCCATTCACAAACACACTGGGGACCTGAAATGAACAATAAGCCATTTGTATTGTTGAAATCACCCCAAGAAATTGGCACAAAAAAGTGGGTATCAAAAGTTATCTAATAAGAACATCAAAGAATTAATGTCTAATATCAGTCCAGAAAAACAAACAAATTGTATAATAACTTAAAAATAACTGAAATTAATATGACAATGCCATTGTTTACCTAATCACCTTTATAACATCAAATTCAGCAACATGTCAGGACATCACAATATATAAGGGGAGAATTAATGCACATGACATTGATTTTATCAGTCATTCCCAGTAGAACAGTTTCAGTATGTCTTGGTATGTACTGCACTTGAGCTTTTAAGGAAACATTAAGAATGAGTTTTGTCAAACTAGTTAATGCTCACTTACTCCAATGCAATAAGGGCTCCGTATCTCGAAAGGTTCGCTATGTTCCGCACATGCGCAAGTGTCTCGATTCCATAACTGATTCTATTTCGAGATATGGGGCCATGGAATCGAGATGCTTGCGCACCTGTGCAACATAGCGAACCTTTCGAGATACGAAGACCTGATTAACAGACTTACACACCTCGTTCTGGCATATGATAGAATACAGAAAAGCTGGTGATTATGCAAGTAAGTTGGAAGTTAGAGGTTGAGTAGACTGGGTACCTATAATCCTATTGTACTAGCTGGATCAATCTAACTCTGAGAGGATTCTCACTAGATTGCATTCAGTTCAAGCAGCTAAAATGTCTGTCACATCCACTAAAGCTGCCAGGGGTGTAATCAACTTTTGTGCACACTTAAACTGAATGCAATTTAGTGAGAATCACCTCGGAGAGAAAATTGATCCTGTTGGTACGATAGGGTTATGGGAATGGTTCCTAAGTCTGTTAATCTGATTGCCTTTAGCAAGAGTTCATGGAGTTAGTGCGCATTAACTAGGTTGGCATAACTCATTCTGAATGGTTCCTTAGAAATGTTACTGTGTTTATACTCACTGTAGATGAACCAGTCATAACTTGTAATTCCTGTTGTATAAGTGGTCCATCATCTCTGCAGTTCAACTCTATGGATTTGTACGGCACTTCTAGCTGGTCCAGTAATCTTTTGGTCCTCTTGCAAAAACCGCAGCTTGTCTTAGAGAAAATTGTGACACAATTCTTAGAAACTTCTTCATTTATAAACTGATGAATGGCTGGAGATGGCTGAGATACCCTGCCTCCCATACTGACAACTGAACCAGAGTGGAACTTAGCTAGATTGTGTTTGGTGAGACTGTCCTGGTTGTGTTTGCTGAGACAACCAAAATTGTGTTGGGATACACTAACAGCACTGAACTTCTCTTGATTGTGGTACGTGAGACAGCGGTTTACTCTCCAGATGTGCCTCAAAGCCTCAGTTCTTGTTCTCAACATCTGTGCTGGTTATGCAAAGAGAAAATAAAACAGAGCATATCTTAATATATATTAACACATGATTTTTCATGCTTTACCAGTGGTAATGCAAATTTTCATGGTATTGATATTCCATAATATTCCGCATCATTCATAATGAAGTATACTGTATTATATTGTGCTATATTTAATGAGTGCATACTTTAGAGAGTAAGACCGCATTCAGACCAGCACATTAACTAGTCCATGGGTCAAATATGGCCCACCCACTTTAATACTTCCCCATGGAAAATCTATTCAAAGTCTATTAGTGGATTAGATGGCAAGCTTTTAGTCGGTCGCCATATATGGCCTGCAGACTATATAGTCAGTCCGCTGTTCTGAATGCAGCATAATACCAATACCAGAACAACAATTAAGGTAACGAGCAGAGTAAACCAGGCAAATAAAAAACTACTGTAAATCTACTAGTTAACAGCGGGGCAATAAGTACAAACTCCACAACACCCCAATTTCTCCTGAACACTCCAATCTAAATTATATAAATCAAACAGACACTGTAGTTACTCACTTCTTGTGTTATGTATGATGAAATTAAAACCTTGAGTTGAGGCAAGAAATTACTGGTCTGACCTGGATCAGTACTTTACAGAAATTCCGAACAGTAATATGGTACAAAACACCAGTTGTGATTGAAGACCACAAAGTGAAAAGTGCCAACGCCGAGTTTTCTCGTGCTTACATCCGTTCTGTCCCTATCAGATCTGAGATCTCGATTTGTCCTCTTATACCCGAGGCCACGTGTGACCATTGACCTCGATTTCCTCAGTTGTTATGATCACGCTGAAGTCACATGACTTTATATTTTCTGTTTAGTTTCCTACATTATCAGTTCATGTCCCCTCTTCAAGATTCATTTATCAGTTAAAAGAGTTTTCAAGTCGTTTATTTTAGCGTTATTTGGAGGAAATTGCGGTACTTACTTTCGCTGCTGAAAGAAAATGTCACCACATCTCACGAGAAAGTTAGAGATTTAAGATGGTGGGTGCTGACGAAGAGGAAAAGTGAATCTTTGTTATTGTTTTTATTTTCCATTCATTTCGGAAATATTTCTCATTGAGAAGGAAAGGCTCTGTGGAACCAAGATGTGGGTAAAGCCAGAAGAGGTCTTACTTGCCAATGCACTATGGTAAGCTTCAGAAAATAAATGGTCAAATAATAACTATAACGACTTGGTCTAATTCATTTTCCAAAATTACTACATGACATTGACATTAAATTCAGTGACAAATATTGCAAATCGCATTTGTAGTGATTTTAACGTAGGTCCCGGTTCTTTTATTACTGTGTTATATGCGTAACATCTAAATAATGGAGAACGATTAAAATTGGACATCTTAATTAATCGCAATGGACATCTTAATTAGGGATGAAAAATTATGTTCATTCATGCTAGAAGTCCCAAAAGTTCAGTATTGTGGAATACAAAGTGTGAATCCTCATAATACTGCAAACAGATATCTGTTACTGAAAAGTATTATAAAAGGGGCAGTAACACGTGAGTGCTAGTTTTTACAATTACTTCAATTTTCACGTAAACTGTTTATTTCCAGGGTAACAGAAAGAGCCAATCCATTTTTCATCTTGCAGAGGAGGAAAGGCCGAGGTGGGGGTGGTCTCACTGGATTGCTGGTTGGAACAATGGATGCTGTGCTAGATAACAAAGTACTGATGGATTGTGTAACACATAATAGATAGCCGACCTTCAATGTTGATAAGTTAGCATAATATAGACAAAAATTAACTTTATTAACTAATGAGAGTCAGAAGCTAAAATGAAATTTTATCTGACTTAATATATTCCAGTTATTAATCATTCATTGACAAAATCAAATATGAAGCATGTTGAGGGTTTTCATTGTCTCTTTTGTATAAATAGATTAAATTGCTTTCAAAGAGACTAAACATTTTCACCAATGAGGCTTGGTATGTCAACTCTCTTGCAAAGGGCCATTGTCTCTTTGGAATGGATTTACTTTTTGTACCATAATGTACACTCAATATTGATGAATTTGTACTCTTTTTTTAGACCCCACCATATAGAATACTGCATCAGACAACTAACTCAGAAGTCAGCTATGGTGAGAAATACAATTTTATTTTTGTGACTTGGGTGAAAGTTCCTTTTTATGTTAAATCAAAAGCACTTGCTGACAAGATTTGCCAATCCAGGTAGTACCTTCAAAATGCTAATAAGCCACATCAAGGAGATATCCTGCATTCTGAAAATAATTCATGAGATGTGGCTAGGTCTGCAATAAATTATTTATATATTTGACCAATACTACGTGATGTATAAGAAGTTATAATTAATATGGCATCCTGGAAGCAATCATTTTAGAAGTGTAAAGATGTTTTAAGCATGAAAGATATTTTCCTGTTTGTAATAATAAACATTCCCATTGCCAGGGAGCATTGGGTATGATATCTGTGATGCTGAAAATTGGTTTACAGGAGTTGAAACATGTTAAGTCTCTTTAAAAGCAATTTAATCTACAGGAGTTGCTGTGGCTAACAGCAAGAGGGAGATATTCAAGGACTGGGAGTGGCTGGAACAGCATGTGATGGAAACACTGGGTAAGTGCAGGGCAATAAACCAACAGGTGCTTCTGGGGGTATGGTGTCCAGCTCACGTAAATCAAGAATATCACACTCTTCATTGTGAACTGATAAAGATGAATATTTTAGAAACTGAGTGGTTTAAATGAGCGCTGAAGCCAGTAAACCTGCTTGGGACAAGCAATGTATTGGTGTTGACAATTCAGTCAAAGTATGCACATATCTAGTAATGCATGGACTAACTAGTGCTGAGGAATTGACAATTTATTGATCACACCTGGTGGTGACTTGTGTATGGCAGCCTGGTGCTACTATTTGTGTTCCACTTCACTTCACATTTTATTCACTGTAACACATTTCCTGTGAAAAGTTGGTAGTCTTCCTAATATATTGATGCAAGGATCAATAGAATTCTAATAACTATTGTTGTGATGTTTTGATGGCATTTATTGTAGAAGTGAGTAGCCTAACTATCACATTTGGAATTTCTCATAAGAGATAACAAGCAAATGAGAAATAAATCCCAATGTTGGGGGTCTGCTATATATATATACCATGATATCAACTGATTCAGAAAAATTATTTCTGTGAATTAAATTTCATGATTAAGGTTATGGTCTGATTATTTGATTATTCAAATTGAGTTATATGAAAAAATGAACCAGATTTTTTTTTGCAAATTTTCAGATACTTTTGAAAATGAAGATGATGCCACTGAATTTGTGCGAGGCAAGATCAATAGTCTGGTTGCCAATGTTGTTACAGATGATGATGATGGCAAAGACGGTATGTTAATTGATCTGAAAGTGTTAATTCTGCTTATGTCAACAGAAAACAACATGTTGTGTTTTGAAGACACACAAAAAACCTTTTAAATCAGTTGACTTTTGAACTGGCAGTTAGGTAAATTTTCCCTGGCCAAAGGACTTTTTGATGGAATGACTGCAAATTCAAAATAAGCCTTTCAAATTTATTTGCCTGGCACTTTGACTGACTGACTGAACACATTTTTCTATCAGTTCTTGAAAATTAATGAGTCCTGACTGGTAGAACTAACAGTTTCAGCATGTCTGTTTTTTTTTTTTTTTTTTTTTTTTTTCTGGCACAGACAATCTCTGTGAGCTGTTTAGACAAGAAGATGTGGTCTTTGGGTTGTCCTTTTTCACTGTCGGAAACATGTTCAGTTCAAAGAATTGTAACCAGTCGCATGTATTATGTAGGGATCAAGTATAAATTTTAGTTATGTGTTTTGTTTCTTATTTTTATAGATGAGGAGACTGCTAATTTCAAAATAGCTTCCAGAAGGTTCCACAAGATGTTCAACATGCCTAAAGAGGAAAAACTGGTCAACTGTAAGTAAAAGAATTAAAAGTATATTCTTCTGTTACAATGTATATTTTATAAAATTATGTAGTAGCTAAATAAATTATCATTATTATTATTAGTAGTAGTAGTAGTAATCAGAATATCAGGATGAGCATGGCATTGTAACAGTGTGATGTGATAACAAACAGTTGATATCTACGTTATATTTTCAGACTACTCCTGCAGTTACTGGAAGGGAGGATTACCTCGGCAGGGATGGGTGTATTTGAGCGTGAACCACCTCTGCTTCTACTCATTCCTTATTGGCAAGGAGGCCATGTTGGTTATCAGATGGACAGATGTTACGGTGATAACCATGTTTTTTTTTGTTTGATTTTGATGTGGTTTATACCAGTAATACACTGATTGTACCAAGTTTTAGGGATTTTAAAGAAAATCTGGTACTTTTGTTGGGCTGGTAAAGTTTAATGGCCAATTGGCATTCTCCAGTCTGTTGTCCACTGTGTTAGTTTTAATCAGCTTTGTAATACTTTTCCAGAAATTGGAAAAGGGCAACAACATGATTTTCCCAGACAGCATTAGAGTAAATACAAGAAATCAACAGGTAAGTGACACAGTTTTCTTTTTAACGAAGCCTTAACACCTCAAATTGACACAATATTTTTATTGCAACCCTGTATGTATCCCACTTGCAATTTTATATGTATAAGTGACATTCATATTTGATACAAATTCCATATTATTTCTCTTTCAGCATGTGTTTTCCATGCTTCTTCGCAGTGAAGAGACATTTGGATTGATGGAGCAACTGGCCAACATGGCTATGAAACAGTAAGTGGCATATTTGGCAAATAAGAATTTTTTACAGTTCAGCCTCAGTGTGAATAGAGACATGCTATTTTATATTGTACACAGCATTGAAAATGAGGCTCTTTGTCATCATCATGTTGGTGGCAGCACATGGTGTGGACAGCAGAATTTCAGTAGATGAAAGATGGTTCTTTCACTCATAATGTTACTCCTCTCTTTTACTTTGTCCAGAATCACTTGATCTAGGCTAGTATCTCTTTAACAGTATGTCTGTGAAGTTATTAATTATTTTAAGATAAAGTGATAATTGGACATTCTTCCAGGCTGCTGTCAGAAGAAACTTTTGAAGAAGACAGAGATCTGATGCTGAAAATTAAGTGAGTTGGAATTGAATTTTATGGGTGGAATATGAAAGTTTTAACAACAAATATTATTTCTTTTCAAACATCTACACCCTACATCACAACAGATGGTAATATAACACTTGCTATATGCATACTTTATCATCAGTACATTAGAAATGTTTCATAATATTTTGTAGGAAAAGTACTCCAAAGAAAGTCCCTCTCTTGAAGCGGGATTTGGATGCCCGGGTCAGAAGTGAAGCCTACAGAATCCTGTTTAACTTGCCGTTAGATGAGAAACTAGATGGTAACATAGAGTGCACCCTATGGACCCCGTATAATAAACACTATGTCTGGGGAAAGATGTACATCTCCCAGAATTACATCTGTTTTGCCAGCAGGGTGAGAAGGGGCTTTTTTTACTACTTAGATTATTATAATTATTATTAATAGAGTTGCTACATTAACTGTGCAAATCACTATAAAACATAGTTGGAACTGGTCTGATTTATAAGTAAAAATTTACGTAATAAACCATGAAGAGTTGGTTAGATACATAGAATAGATATTTTGAAACGAAATAAAAACTTTGAAGAACATGAGGAAAGTAGAGGAGATGAGTTAAAAAAAAAACTATTGCTGCCTACCTCAAGAAATTTTTACTTATAAATCAGACCAGTTCCTACTATGTGTTATAGTGATTTGCACAGTTGTAGCAACTCGTGCACTGGGGGAATAAGTGAGAAGGGCAATTTTATTGATAAAAGTGAAAAGTGACTAAAAAAAGTTTTTCAGTTGATGCAAAATGGATGTGTTAAAAATTAAGACGTAGTGCCATGCTTATTTACACAAACTTAATCTTTTACTCCATCTAACCAGTTCAGTAATTCTATGAATATGGTGTTTTCAGGTGAAAAATCTTGTGTCAGTTGTGATACCTCTGAGAGAAGTCTATGTGGTGGAGAAGACGGATAATTCGACCAAAAATGTGATCAACGAAGCTCTCCTGGTGACTACCAAGGGGAAGGTTAGTGTCCATGATTAGTGGCAGGTGCTGTGTATGAAAGACTGCTTTTAAGTGACACTATACGCACACCTATACATACATCATTCCATGGCAGGTTTATCATGGTTACAGGATGAGGAAGTATGGCAGAGCAGAACACTTGCCAAAATGGAGCATCAGCTTTAAGGCAAATTCTATTGTCTGCAGCCAGTAAGCCTAGCATTTATAGAGCCAGTGCTTACCACCTTTTTCTGTTGTATAAGTCATAAAGTGTTTTTGTTTAGACTTTGTGGATTATTTGCAGCAGATGATCTAGATCTGTTGCAGGCGAATACATTTAAAAAGTAGTTTTAAGATAAAAGTTAATTGTTGAGAAAGTGTTCCATGTTAGAAAAATAACTGTGCAGATTATAAGTCACCTTTTGAGTGCAAGTATTAGAGCTTTTTATTTTACAAACTTTCAGAAACCTTACAAAGGTGCCCCTTATGTTATGGAACAAGTGAGCACATTTATTTCACAGATGTATGCTTTAAAAAACTTTCTTGTTTGAGAAATTGATTGTTGACAAGTTTCCTAAATTAATTATTGATTTTATTTGATATAATGACACATATTGCCTTCTCTGCCTTTTTTGCTTTGTCAGTTTTTGTTGACTTTCCGACTCCCCAACCCCCCCCCCCCTACACCCACTCACCCACCACCATCACACACCACCAACAACAAATCCAAGAACCATGACCTAGAGCTATTTAATGTTGAATGTCATTGCTAATTTGCACTATTTGATGATAACTGGGATTGCTCCCATGTGCACTGATGTTGAATTATGATCACCATTTTTCAGGCTCCTGGCTTACCCATAATCACCATTCTATCTCTGTTTACCTTGTGTGCCTCCCACCTTACATTATATGACTTGACTTCATTTCCTGAATACTGAATATAAACCATACTGCAGTAATTTCTTTTGACAATTTTTGTTGTTAAAGGAACAGTTTAAACAAATTTTTCATATCTGATTTATTTTTGTGGTGCATCATATCTACTTCTGATGTGCATGTTTGGACACTTTACTCTGCATGATAAACTGCTGTCTTGTGGTGTCTGCATACTGAATTTATCATTTACTTCCAGTTGCAGCTTGAAGTTGTTCTTGTTTCCTATATATATTTTATTTTCTGGCTGTAAAATTTTTCACAGAATTACGACATTTGTTAAACTGTTCATTTCAGATGAACTTTCTGTTCTGTGAACTTCCTGACAGAAACTTTGTGATAGAGAAGCTTTCAGATCTCCTCTCTGCACAACCAGCTACTGGGCGGTAAATATCAATTTCCTCTTCACACACAAAAAAATAATAATAATAAAAAAAATAAACGCGTTCTAAGTGAAATTTCCTGGAGGTGATTGCTCAATTTATAGGTGATTTTGTTATCTTTTATTGACAATATCAAGCTACATTCTTAATTCTGTTGCTTAGTATATGGTTATTTGTTATGTAATACAGAGAGACATAGTGCACCACATAGAACTGTGACTGTTACAATAGGTTGTTTAACTAGCAGGGTTTAGGAATCTAATGCTCCAAAGCATAAAAAGCAGCCAGTAACTGAGCAATATGATAAAAATTTGTCATTTGGCATGTGGTCAGGGTTAATATGTCAGATTCCTATATTGTTATTGTATATACATTTTAGACAGAGAGAGGCCAGTGTCTGCTCAGATGCAAGCAGCAAGTCAGACGAGGATTCCACATCGTCTCAGTTCCAACCAGCGCTGGGTTCGCTCTTCTCAAAAAGGAGGAACTCCCAGGACGAGGTGATGGCCAAAGAGAAAGTGAAGGAACATTTGTGGGACGTCCATTTTGCCGAATATGGCAGGTACAGACTGGCATGATAATTTGGAGTAGATAAAACTGGAATAGCTTACTTCTGAATTCCATAGATTTCTTTTCAAAATTAAATCTAAACAGAATGGCAGTTTTTAAAGACATGAATGTCTGCTGTATGTGATTTATAATGTCTGTATGTAAATTGGTTCCATTGTATAATTGCATATTTCAGGGGTATTTGTATGTACAGAACGCACAAGACACATGAGCTGATACTGCGTGGAATACCAGACAAGCTGAGGGGAGAAATATGGATGGTGTACTCAGGTGCAATAAATGAGGTAAGTAAAGACAACATATAAAATATAGAATCATACCTTGTTTTCAAATATCAATATTTTCCATGTGAGTTGTTTTAATTGTGAGTTGTCTTACATATTTCCAAACTGATATTTAACGCCCCCAATTAGAAAACTTAGTTACAGGAAGAATACATTTGTATCAAAAGAAAAAGTTTTCAGAGGACTTAATGTGTGGAAGAGTTTGCTTTCCACTTCCAGATGGCCACTAATGATGGTTACTATGCCTCCCTGGTGGAGCAGAGCAGTGGGAAGAATACCCTGGCCAATGATGAGATTGAACGAGATCTGCACAGGTACAACATTACTGGGACTTCTGTATTTGTCTTATTGCTTAAAATATGCTGATATCATGTGGACTTCTTTGTGTCTTTTCCAGCATGATTTACTGTGTTATCAGTGTTCATTCATTTCATGCATTGCAAACAAATCATTTTACTTGTTGCCAAGGTAGTTGCAATGCAAATTGAACCAGTCAAGTTTGGTTTAATAAAAAATGTTAAAAGATGAAGACATGTTCAGTCCTACAATTCAGTTGACAAGAGTTTCTGTTTTGTTTCAGGTCACTTCCTGAGCATCCTGCATTCCAGAGCCCCCTGGGGATTGGTGCTTTGAGAAGAGTGCTTACTGCTTATGCCTGGAGGAACCCTACCATTGGTAAGTGCATGCACAGGGAACTGTTTTATTTTTTTCCATTGCTAAGAACAGTCATCTTTGTCTGTGATGGTTGTTTTACTTTTCATTTCCATTAAAATCTATATGTGGCTGATTGTTGTCATTCACATGTTCGACAAAGTCTTTTAAAACCCAGCATTCTTTTAAAAACTCAAAATATTCTGATTGGTTTATTATGGGCTCAGTGCACAATGTGGTTATGGTGATGGTTTTCTCCAGGCTACTGCCAGGCCATGAATATAGTGACCAGTGTATTACTGCTGTATGCCAGTGAGGAGGAGGCCTTCTGGCTGCTGGTGGCTCTTTGTGAGAGGCTACTGCCTGATTACTACAATACCAAAGTTGTTGGGGCACTTGTTGACCAAGGTAAATACGATTGTCATTTAGCACATGTAAATGCAACGCTGTATAATAGAATTTACAAGAATTTTCTTCTAACAAAAAGAGTTGCTGAATAGAATGGAAAACACGCCATAAAAATCTCTATGCTGAACTTTTCCTACATTCCTGCCTTTCTACTTGAGTTTTCTTTCACATTTATACACGTTATTGTTTTGCTAGGTGTCTTTGAGGATCTTATCAGAGAGAACCTCCCCAATCTTCATGCCAAGCTGGAGCACCTAGGTCTGCTGAGTATGATAGCTCTCTCTTGGTTCCTGACCCTCTTCCTCAGGTACGGAACTGCTACATAAATGTTATAACAACAACTGCATACTACAACTGAAAGTTAAAATCATATATGTCAGTGTCACGTCTTAGTTCTGCACATTAAAACTGAAGGATTGTTTCACAAATGCCTTCCTTAGTTCTGAATTAGGAGTTTACTGAAAGTTGTAATTAGGAAAATGTTTTCATGCAAGATATTGGTTTTCCAATCTGTTTCTATTAAGAATGACAGTGAAAAGATGAACAAGGGGCTTTATTCAAAATATTTTGATTACTTGAAAACTGTTGGTTTCTTTCAGTGTCATGCGATTTGCCAGTGCAGTGAATATAATGGATTGCTTCTTCTATGATGGTGCAAAGGTAGGGTTAGTGTCTTGCACAACTGCATCAAACACCTTATATCTGTTATCACCAGCACATGATGCATTTTATACACCTTTTTGTGTAGTTTCCATGATTGATACAAGGCATTATACATACCATTTACAAAGTGCTTTTAACTGTGTGTTTGTTATTATAAGGTTTGTTATTAATTTTTCAGGTGGCATTTCAAGTTGCTCTGGCCATCTTAGATGGTCGCAGTGAGGACCTGCTGTCGTGCAATGATGACGGAGAGGCTATGACTATCATGGGAGAATACCTGGAGAATATCACCAACAGAGATGCCACCCTCATTGACATCCCACATACTAAACTGTACAGCACTGGGGTAGACCCTCCTGTTAGTATGACTGGGACTTCTCTTGATTCACTCCATCTGGTGGTTAACTTTCCACTCAAGATGGCAGTTTGAATACTTACAGATATTCCTCACACTTAGAAATATTTTAACATAATGTGCATTGTTTTTATCTAAGGGATATTTGAACTTAGAATTTGTGTATATAATTTGATTTCTCATAAATTACGTAGACTTGTCTCTCTTTCTTGACATGATATTTTTCCTTCTTACGTTCCAGCCCTCCATAGATGTGGCAGACCTAGTCAGAGAGGCTTACCTTAAGTTTGGTCATATTTCCAACGAAGACATTGAGAAACTGAGATTAAAACACAGACTAAAGGTTGTACAGGTAAGTGGGGGTTTGGCTTCTAGTGCGTGTTTATATTTATAAAAGAATCTCATGAATATTTTTGTGTTCCATTTTAATTCCAGTAACAAGTATTTGTTTGCTTTGCAAAATGTCAATATACATAAAAAGGTTTCACTTTATTCAGAACATAGAAGACAACACCATGAAGAATGTCCTCCGCAGTGTGGCCAATGACACCCTCCTACAGGGGGAGGAACTGCAGGACTTGTTTTTACTCTTCAAGGTATGTGTCGTATCCCGCACACTATGGCATTTCTTTTACATCAAACATGTTGAACAAAGTAAAACCTTGATCTAGATTACCATTTCAAGTGAAATTAACTTCATGACATACAACATGCTGAGTTAAAGAAGTCCAAAAGATTATTCAGACACAAACATGCATGCACATGCATACAAATGCAGACACACATACACACATAAAATTTAAAAAAAACTGAAAGAATTTTATCTAAGCTTGAATTATGGTAAGGATAGACTATTAGCATATGTTTGTATCTGTTGAATGGATTTGATTGGCATATAAAACGTGAGGCTGTTAATTCCTTCTCCCAGGAAGAATACCTGTCCTCGTGTTACTGGCGCACTCACCCCCAGCCATGCGACCCCTCAGAGAAGTACGACCCAGCTCGGCCATATTACGAGCAGTATAGAATTGACTATGACCAGTACAAGGAAATCTTCCTGTCCATCTGTCCCTGGGCTGGAGGACCATCAGCAGAGACCACTGCCCTCAGGTCATTCAGGGTAGGTGGAGGATGGGGTGTGCTCATCTTTTACACACACACACAAATACACATAGATGTAGTTTACACCCATCAACGAGTACCTTGTGAGTGAATTAACTTGATGCAAATTCACATAACTGTTGAGTTATGAGTGTGTAAAAATGTAACATACACTTATGAAATGTAAAATGATATGAATTCTATAAGTCTTGCTCAAGGTAGCACCTAAAATACTTATTTTAACAATATTTAAATAATATTTTAACAGGATTTCAACATGCAGATTTCACACCTTTTAAGAGAGCACCTCTTAAAAGAGCACAAAACAGAATTCTTTACCCAAAATGTTATAATACCTCCACACAGTGTGTCACTCACAAAGCCACCTTTCCTTCCAGTTAATGGACACCAACTCAGACAACCTGATCAACTTCAAGGAGTTTGCGTGGTGTCTGGGTGTAGTGTGTAAGGGTACTCTGGAGGAGAAGGTGAGACTACTGTACAGGTTACATCAGCCACCAGCTCTCAGGGACACAGATGATGATGAAATAGAACCTGCCACACCTAAGTCAGGTAATTGTACAAACACTGAATTTTTAATTGATTTATTACCTCCATTAAGGGGGTCACATCTTTGGTTCTATTTATTTATTTATTTATTTATTTATTTATTTATTTATTTATTTATTTATTTATTTATTTATTTATTTTGTTAAGAAGATGTGATGTCCTTTGATTATTTCCATAAATGCAGTTTTTAAACATCACTACAGTACACTCTAATTCCTTAACAGAACAATATTTATTATAACACATTTTGGGCAGATTGGGTTCCATGTTCTGTCTGTGGATGAGCAACCTCCTTACTTCTCCTTTCACTGCCATTCCAGATAGCACAGAGAGTGCCATGGAGGCAACCAACTTCTTCGATGAAGATGAGGACGACATTCCAGGTGTGGGGGAGGACATTTTGGGGCCCAAGTCTCCTGACGCAAACCTCCAGAGTCCAGTGAGCCCAAGTATACACCTAGAGTTCAGTCAGGTACTGCAGATCCCTCCTACAGCTGAGACAGCCAAGGCGGCACAGACAGCTGCTGCTGTGACGCCACCTGGTGGATCAACCTTGACATTGACTGGCCAGAATGATGCTTCAAGCAGCAGTTCTTCGTCAAAAGGTAAAGTAGTGTATCACTGATGATTTCTGAATCACTAAAATTATTACAAAGATGTAACATAATGATTCTGAAAATTCACTAAATTTTGTTAAATTGTTAAAAAGAAAAGGAAAAAAGAAAGGAAAAGAGTTAAGTTGCTTTGTTTATATAATAAAATACAAGTAACATATCTTTATTACCAATTCTAGACACAAACAGTCAGAAGTCATGGGACATGAAACCAGAATCTGAGCGCCAGAGATTGTACAGAGAGAGTAGCAGGGCACGCTACGGAGACATTCCTAGGCTTACACAGGTTTGTTTTTCAACACTCTTCAGTTGCATTAATTTATCTATTACTATCCATTAGCCATACAGTTAAGACATGTTGTACTGTATATCCATGTCTTGTAAAAATTGTTTAGTATATTTCTACAGACAGCAGATTAATTTTCAAAAAGACCCTCAGATAAAACTTTTGGAAGACCCTGTAAATAAGTAATCTGTTCATTTCCAGGGCCAGTTTATCAAGCTGTGGAAGACCCTGTATGACTTAATGATGGAGCACCCAGAGGAGCAGCAGCTGTACCACTCCCTGGCCATGGCAGGGACACTGCTGCTGCAGATTGGGGAAGTGGGGAAACAGTTCTACCTGCCCAAGAGTACCTCCATGGACAGCAGTGCCTATGGGAGTGAGGGTATGTCAGAGGTCATTGGCAGCGTGGAGAGCGTGGACGGAGAGTATATCAGGACTGGATTGGAGAACTTGACACTGTCACAGGGTCAACAGGGACAGGGGGGGCAGTGCGCAGGATCAGAGGCACAGGAAAATGAGTCCAAATTACCTAAAATGGGCACTAAAGCAAAAGGACTGGAAGAAAATCCTGATGCTGATCTAAAGGCCCTTATATCTGATGCTCTAGTGGAGGACAACACTGAGCCAGCACCAGGTGGCGTGGAGAGGAATATTTCCACTGAAACCCAGGACTTGACCTCACAGCCAGATGTGGTGATCTCACATATTAAAAATTCTCAAAACGGTGCCAGTGCAACTGAAAGTAGCACCAGTGCAATAGACAGTGGTGCCTGTGTCACTGACAGTGGTGCTGATAAAGCAGACAGTGGTGCTGGCACAGGTGTCATTGGCGTAGACAGTGGTGTAAGTAGCTCTGATGTGACACCAGAGGACCAGGGCAAAGTGCCATCTGTCCTGTCTGAAGCTAAGACTTCAGAGACAACAGCAGAACATCAGCGCACTGAGTCAGAGTGCAGCTCCTCTTACAAACCAGACGATGAATGGTCCATTACTTATGAACAGTTGCTGGCTTCTTTAAATAATGAGCCAGTTTTAGTGAGGTTTTTTGAGAAGAGCTATGATATCATTGAAGCCATAGATTCTTTCAGAAACAGACACATGTTACAGAGGCAGGGCAGTATGCCTTTGTCACCAAGATTTTAATGTGGGGGCCATGATGCCATTGCACTGTGGGATATCTACAAGGGGAACATCCCATTACTGATGAATATCAGTGCTTTCAACAAGTGGCTACATGAAATGTATATGTTGTAATCTTTAGATTCTAGCCAACAAATTAACATGGCCGAACAAATTCAGTGTCTTTTTATATAGGTTATTACAGACACTATGGCTGACCTTGCACACTGTTTATATGAAATGCTGAGTTTGATTTCATTCATTGAATTGCTCAAACAAGATGATTTTATGGGAAGAAGAATGGCTGGTCTTTTCTTGGCTCCCTAATGCATTGTCAGAGTAAAGTTATCCTGGTTAGCTATAGCAATTTAAGATTAATCCAAATTTGTGGATGACTTAGAGGGCAAACATTATAAATTATATATGTGTATTTTTAGTCTTGATGAGCAAAATGTCTAAGAATACTTTGTAAGCATTTCTTGTTCTTGTATGAAATTATTATCGAATGTTCAAGATGTGATAAGAATCTTTTAATTTTTTCTAAATTGGTGACAACATTCATGTATCTTATTTTACCTATTATCAATTATCAAGGTGGAGGAAGTTGCAATATAAATAGATAGCTCAGTTCACATGAAAAGAGGTGCTGTATGTTGTACCCATGATACGTGTATGAAGAGTCCAGTACTATTAAGACCATGGGGGGGGGGGGGGGGTAGGTTCAAAATATGAGATTGGCCAGTGACTGTTTAGTAAGAAGAAGGAGATAAATAAATAAATAAAATAATTTGTCAGCCTGAGTAGTATTAAAGAGGCTGTTATCTGTAGCAAATATTGTCAAATTGAAGTTATAGGTGACTTATTTATATTTTTAACAACTTTTAGGAGCACTCATTTATATTGTACATGTCGTTCAATAGATGTTTTGTATACGGCAGTTCTTATCTGGTACACTACATTACAGTGAACTTTGATAGCTTAAAGTTTTTTTAATAGTGTACTTGTTTACTGATAATTTTATTTAATCCAGTACTGATATGTATTTTCCAGTCAAATATCAGGAAGTGACATAGTCTCCTGATTCGCCAATGTGGTGGAGTTTTTTTACTTGGCATGAGCTGACGATACAGCATGCCTTATATATGGACTTATGTTTGATATGTATATAAATATAAATATAAATAAATGGATCATGGGTGCATCGTTCAATCTTATCACTAACATTATAAGTTAGTACTGAAATTGGCATGGGTCAGGAAATGACCAACTGGGCCTCAGTCTTTTATTATTAGTTGGGTTTTGAGGGTCACAAATAAATAAATTTGAATGATTGTCATCCTTTTGTTTTGTTTCAAAATTGATAAACAGGGTTTGGGGCGAAAGCGTTTGAAACGTGCACCTACTCGTGAAGCATTGCTTGACCCGTCCCTGCACTTGGATTTAATGTTAAAGTTTTATTCCATTTTTGATTTGATACTTTAGTTTAAATGGAATTTTAATGGCATCTGCATTGCCTCATTTCACACAAGAAAATGGCGGGGTGTTTTGTATCGTTTTTGTTTTAGCTCCACAAGACATGATTATGACTGTGGGGGATTTTCAACGGCGCGGAGAGAATCTCTAGATATTAATTTTGGCGGGAAAATCCCATGGAGTGCCCTTATCTTGGTTTTTCTCCCTCTCACGTCCCCTTCCTGTTGTTAAGTCAAAGTGGAAGCTCATTGTGAACCGGGCCAGAATGTATCAGTAAGTATACCGTTGGACGTGAAAAGGGCCTTCCGTGCACACAGACAGACCCCCTATCACATAGAAGGCCAGTGGCAGTTGACCAAGTTGTAGTTTCTCAACTAAAAATTCATTTGTAAATAAAATTTTTCAAAGAAGCGCTTTTCATGAAATAGATTCACAAACTCCTTGATACGTGCTGGGTGTACGTGTATTAGCATCTCTTACTGAAATGGTCACGATCACGTGATAGGTGCACGTCATATACCTTCCCCCACTATCTCCAGTAGATCTATCAGTGTGTGACAAGTTGAATAAAATTTGTTCATAAAATTTATAATCATGCAGTCACGTGTTTCATCTGATATCATAACACGTGGAAAATAACGAGACTTGCTATCGAGGCGTGCCCCGTGATTTCGAAAAATAACTTTTTCTCGTTAAAATTAGAGAGGGAACCTGAGTGGCTTCGTTTATCGTTTCTTATTAAATTTATCTATTTATTCCACGGATGTGTAGCTGTAAGGCTTACGCGATCTTGTGAACTCAAGGTTGAAAAGGGGAAAAGGCACGGTGGGCTCATTTGTGAAGAAAAGAGCGATAGTCCGAAGGTTCAATAGTCCGAAGGTTCATACCAGGATCCTGTTATAAACTGGTAAACTTCTGTTCTTCCTGATTCGCGACATTTTAGGAAATTCCTTTTGTAATACAAGTATAGCCGAATACGGGTGACAGTAGGCCCATTAACTGTTTTTGACGCAAATACTATAGAAATTAACAACGTAAACAGTAAAAAAAGCAAAAAACAGAAACCGCAACACATTGTGGTACAACCAAACTTATGTTGTAGTCATTTATATAATAATGTAAATCTCGATTATATCATGCAAAGTTAGAATGATAAATGACCTCCAGGTTAATTTAAAAAACGACTGAGTAAATATATTGACAAGATTACAGCTTATTTGACACTGATAAACGACTTGACACTGATAGCCGACTTGACACTGATAGCCGACTTGACAAAATACAAAAATTCTACAATACGACTCATCACCTCTCACAGCATGTTTTACTACTAAGTATACTGTATATACGAACTAGGATATATGAATTCAAGAGAAATGTGCTTAATAAGAATATCTTACAACTGTATAGGGTGAAACTTAATACAAATATAATACCATTACTTTTATTCTATTTACTTCTGGCGCGCTCGTCATAAATTAAATCTCTTCATATCTGAAGTCGCATACTTCTGATAATTAAATGATACTTAATTAACTTTTGTATTAACTCTGATATTTCACAATGTAGCGCATCAGACCAGGAAGTATAGTGTAGTAAGTTCCCCCTTATTGTCCCGTCAGGGGTAAAGTCTAGAGATAATAAGTAAATCCTGGTGTAAACAGGTCAACTTCCCGACCTTCCTGCTTCAACCTGAACGTTGGAAAGTCCCGTTTGTAACAGGCCCCAAACATTGGCGAGTGGGTGGGGAGGTTTTTCCAAAACAAAATGGCGGACTCAGTCCCAATCAACATGAGCAGAGTTAGATCTTTACCCCATAAAACTATTACAATATGCTGCAAATAGATCCACTTTCCAAAAATGAATAAATTAAAATCTATAGCAAAGAAGCGGAAGGTGTCAAAAGAATTTGCCAGCCTCCTTTTTAATGTCCTGGATCCTCCATAAACTTTATTATCGTACTTCTCCTTTAAGTACTCCGATATATAATATTATACTATATACATAGGTCATATTATGGTGGCGTCCTCTTTAATTACAGTTTCTATCACTTTTCTCGCACATGCTTCATCTGGGGTAGTACCGAGTAACAGTAGCGGGAAGCTGTGTGTCGATGCCAGTAATTCTGTCCCTGAGCCTAATAGGACTAGCTTGTGTCAGTTGTATTGAGCCTGTCTGGATAAAAACTAACAACATTAATTCATCCATAAACTATTTCTACTTTTATTTCTCGGCCTTCCAGTTGCGTCCCGAAACAAGCGTTGTCATTCAGCATCTCAGTGATAATATTTCTCAACTTTTCCATCCCCACGTCGCTTGTCAGTTTGGCGGCTGTGACGTCGTCCGCTTCTATATCAAAAGACATGGCCGGCAGCTGCTTAACTATGACTCTGCAGTTTTTCACATGAAAATTGGACTCAATCTTCTGGTTTAGAACTTGGGAAAATGTATCACCGTTGGGACCTGAGTCCTCTTTGTTTAATAATTTCACAGAAATTCTTTTCACCTTGCCTGTGGCACCTTGTTCTTCTTCTGAAAAGTGAAAGCAAATGTTTGAATACTTTCAGTAAATAGACGAGTATCAAAATTTTTAATCTGGAATTAAACAATAAAGCATAGTGATGTAAACAAATAAACAGATGTACGCAATTTGATAATTCAAATTTCCGTGAATCAATTCACAGCTTATTGTTTATTATTTCATTAAGGCCGTTTTTTTATTAACGAGGTCGTTACCTGTAGAAGTGTGTTGGTGAATGTGCACTACCGAGCCAGGGCCGTAGGTGTGGTGGTGAACGTTAACGGTCTTAAATTTGTCCCCAACGTGAATGCCTTGGCTCTCCTTTACAGTGGCGATAAAATTACTTTGGCGACTGAAATTCGGAGAGGAAGAAGCTCTCCCACCACTACTTCCCACAGAAGGTTCCGCGGTCTTGCTCTGTTCTCCCTGACCAACGCTGGCTAGGCCGTCATCTGGTGAGATTTCTGCTTCGAGTGTAGATAGTCGCCAAGACGAGATGTCGGACCTTGTCGATGAACGCTGACTACCGTAGCCATCATCCTTGGATACTGGGCGTTGAGCCTTTACTTCCGTATTTTTAAGTTTGCGTCTCAGCTGTTCTATACCTAGTTTGAATTCATCGCCATTTTCATCACTATCATCCTCGCTGACATTATCTTCGTCGCTCACTGTAATATTTAAGGGCGTTTCCTTATTCATCTTTACCTTTTAAAACCGAAAATTAAATGTAGACAGCTCAACAAGTGTAAGTTTGATTCTAACTTGGAAGAAGGAATGTGAAAGTATTTATCCCATCTAAAACTTCCTGCTACCTGTAGACCCTGTCGACACTGTCACAGTTACTGTTTATCAACAGTTAGCTATAGATAGCGTGCAACGTGACAACACCCGAGCTCTCAGATAGCGATGTGTCAGCTACCTATTCAGGAAAGTTCAGCAGTGAACATGGCAATTTATCAGCGANATTATTATTATTATTATTATTATTATACTTCGAGAGTTTGTAACTCCACCGAGTAAAACGACTATTAGAACCCTCTGTTGCTACTCTCTTGCTCCAGGGTCGCTGCTAGACGGGTCAAGTGATATCATTGGGCATTTGCTACCTGTACCTATTTGGTTACAGCATTTAGACAGAATACCGATTTGGGGTAACAGTGTATAGATTCACTGTTAGAACAACGTTACCCTTATAGCAATAAAAACCAACGTATTTATTTTCTCTCTTTGTAAAATTTCGTCCTTGTTCACTTTTACATGTATATTGGTAGTGCCAGTTTAAAACCACATGGGATCTAATTTAGTTTTAGGGTGTATTGACCCCAGTGAACTGGGAATAACGCTACCACACGAACATTTATCGTCAGATTTCACGTGTGCGTTCTCCCCACCGCATCCAGGCGATGAAGACAGGATCGACCTTCCACCGTCCCTTGAGAACATGGGCTGGGTTATGAGATACCCGTATGTATACCACACTGCTAAGCAATTATTTTTGTAGACGTTTTGCAAGCTGCATTTGCCTTTTTTTTTTATTTATTTCATTTTTTTCTTCAAATAATTACTAAAAGCCTTCAGTTCATGTCTACAGAGAACGTAAGTTTCATTACTTCCTACTGTGTTTGTAAGTATTATTATTATTATTATTATTATTATTATTATTATTATTATTTTTGTAACTTGTGTCAATAAAATCGGTTTTTCTTTGAATGTGTTATGTACATATACATGTAGTTATGTGAGTGTACATTCGTGCATTGATAAACAAAAACGAAAATTCCACGATTTTTAAATAGATACAGCAACAAACCAAACATGATCTTCAACGACGATGCTACGCATTCTGCCATACTTGAGGAAACGATAACTTTTAAGGTAACACTGTGCTTTTGATGAAAAGAGTAAAAACAAAAGACCCGTTCTTTTGATAACTATTTGTATGCCTACTGGTATACTGTGTAGCCTATTAATATGACATTTCTGAATTTAAACACTTTATAATTTGTAATTAAGTTATTGTGATTCATTTAAATTACGTGTAGCTTTTGAAATAAACCGTTTTCATTTCTTTTAAGGGTTTACTTAGATGAACTTAGTTTACTCACGATCTATTGTTTACCATATGGATATTACCTGTATATTATGTTTCGTATCACTTTATTATTAAACTTATTTCAGCGACTCGGTGGAGGGACCATTGTAGAAAATACAACTGGCGATATGCTTCGCAACGTGGAATTCATGAAAAAACTTTCTGAAGAGACGGATGTTCACATTGTAGCTGGAACAGGTACATTTTTACCTAGACAAATCTAAAATTAAGTTTTACTATTTTTGAGTTCTTCAGTAAATGTGTTCTAGTAGTTCAGCGTTAGTTCATAGATAGCAAATTGACATGATCCTAAATTTTGTCGATTTTGAAAATGTCTCTACTCTCCTTTCACCCGGCAGATATTTTGTAACGCAGGTTTCTACTTGGAATCAGTTCACCCCAAGGCTATGGATACCTTTAAGGTGGAGGATATAGTAGAGATGATGAAAACGGACTTTCTGGTCGGATGTGACGGGACAGACATCAAGTGTGGAGTTATAGGAGAAATCGGATGCTCTTGGCCATTACATGGTATACAAAAGTGAAACAGGTCTAGTTTTCAGATTCAGTTTTAATTTTTTTTCATTAGCTTGTCACATGTATTATCTTTTTGTTTATTATTACTGTATTCCTTTTTTGTTTGGGTGTGTGTGGTTGAAGAGGGTGGTCTCATCATGCACAATTGTAAACAATAAAGTAATTGATATTCTTTAGGGATTACTGTGTTTTTCTTATCGACCGGCAGAATTCAGATTTTAACAAAATCCAGACTTCTATTTTAAAAAATAAAGTAATTTAGAATTTTAACTTTCATTTTTTGAAATGAAAGTTCCGTCCCAAAGTTAAGAGCTATTTGTTGCGCTCCAGTAAATGAAAAGAAGTGCCTGTTGGCCACGGGGGAGGCTCAGACGGAGCTTGGCTGTCCTGTTATCATCCACCCTGGGCGCCATAGCCAGTCCCCGGCCGAGGTCGTCCGAATATTACAGGAGGCCGGAGGAAACGCTGAACATACCGTGATGTCACATCTGGACAGTAAGGGACCGTTCACAATGTATTTGTCGACGTAGTTTATGAGCACTAACTCCACGGGGGCTCCGCTGGGCGCTACCAGAATAGACTAGTTAACACGCCTCCTCTTGTTTCCAACGTACTGGTATAATAACCAGGTTTTCTACGTATTCTCTACTCAACGCCAGAACTGTCTTCTCAATTTGTTTCGGATGCTTATGTACATTCTTATGTCAACTACATAGACGCAGTAAACACGTTCCTTTTCAAGGCTAATCTTAAATTTACGATCATATCAAAATATCAATTCTACCTAACTAGTTTCAATAATAATGGCACATAAAACAACACATAAATATATTTTCTGTTAGTCAGTTCAAAAAAGACGGTTTGTTTGCCAAATAAGTTTATATGTCCGTCTTATTTCATAAATGATATTCTTTTACATTTACATTTAGGAACTTTCCATAATGACGAGGAACTATTGGAATTCGCGGGACTAGGAACCTATCTAGAATATGATCACTTTGGTATTGAGATAGCGGACTGGCAGTGCGACCCGACCATCGACATGCCAAACGATGGAGAGAGAATACGCAGGATAAAGAAATTGTTTGCCAATGGTTTTAACAAGGTGGTGATCGCACACGACTTGCACGCCAAGCATATGCTGGTTTGTTCATTCAACTCCTTGGTTTATTTAAAAATAATCATGTTTTGGGAAAATTCGTCTATTATACTACCTGCTAAACCTCCTGATCATCAATGTTATATGCGAAAATGTCCACAATGAGTTAAAAAATATCTTAATTAATTTATTTCAGCAAAGGTATGGTGGACACGGGCTGACACATATTCTGAAGAACGTTTTACCGCAAATGAAGCGCCGTGGAATCAGCAGTGAACAGATCAACACGATGCTGGTGGATAACCCAAGGGAGTGGCTGACAATGATATAGAGTCAAGTCATATAAATACTTACCTAAACCATTTAACATAAGGACTAATAGTGCCTTGTTTCTTGTATATGAGCCAAATTTTAATGAACAATTAAATTTTGACCTTTTCCTGTATTTTAATCAGCGAAAACACAAAAACGAACTGTATGCTCAACTAACGCAATTTGCAATGCTTTATCACGAAATGTCGCTAAATATTGCATTCGCTGAGTTTTGACTTGTGTTAGATTTTCAAATAAATCAGTTGGCCATTCACTTACACCAAAGCGTTCTAACTTATTCAGATCACATTAACTGTGAATTAATGTAGGACTAGGCCTACTTAATACTGTTTTCTGGTCACCCCAACGGTAGGCCCCTATTATCAATACGAGATCTTTAAAATTGTGATTGTGTAAAAGGGGGGACAAAGACCAAAAGGGAAAATGAAAAAAAATGTGTTCCATATTTCTAAGATTGTGTCAAACTGCAGTGTCATATTTTCAAGTGTTTTTCAGTTTATACACCTGTACCTATCATGATCATAAGCGATTAAATTTTGAGTGCGTGCGTAACGTACCCTACCTGTGTTAGCGTTGCTTTCGGATACACCGTCGACTGGTAGTAGACCCAAACAATTTTTTAACAAATAATAAACGGTTTTTGTATCATTAAGATAAACTCACATCTAAGTTTTGATTTAGTGTTAAAACTTAGCTCATCTTTACACACACTGGACAAAAGAAGTGTCACCCCCTAACTCAGAGTAATAAAAGTAGGCAGATCTTGGGTACTTATAATCCCTGGTCTACTTATAATGTGACTAATGAGTATAAAACCGCTATACCATGGAATTGTATTGTTGGTCTTGTACATGTACATCAAATGTTATTCCTGTCTTCCTCCAATATGGCAAGATACAGGCAATTATCTAACAGTTATAGGTGCAAGTTATTAACCTGAAGAGGCGGAATATAAGCAATGTCAGAATATCGATACAATCGAATTGTTCAGTCAGAACCGTGCAGAGGGTCTGATCTCGGTATAGAAACACTGGATCAAGAGACAAATTGCCTCTGATGGGTCGTCCAAGAAAAAATACTGGCCGTGAAGACCGACGACTAATTTTGATGTCCAGGTTGTCAAAGTTCGACACTGCTTGTCAGTTGACAACACAGTGGAACAATTTCACACATAAGAATGTGTCTGTGAAAATTGCTAGGCGTCGGTTACATGCTAAGAGAGTGTACAGCAGGATAGCAAGACTGAAACCTCTTATATCGTTACAAAACAGCCAACGTAGAGTAAACTAGGGTCAACAGGATCTGGAACTGGACAGTTCATGACAATTGGTTCTATATATTTTTTTCTGATGAGTGTCGCTTTGGTCTGACCTCTAATGACAGACGGGTACTATGCTGGCAAACTGCTGGTAAAGCATTTTAACCACATGCACTGAATTTTCGAACCCGGAGCAGCATATTCATCATGGTGTGGGGCTGCATCGGCATCCATGGCTTGGGCGAATTTATAGTGGTTAATGGAAACATGAATCACTGGAAATATATCGATGTTTTGGAGTCAGGCTTGCTACCATCTATTACTAACATGTTTGGTGACAGGAATTATCCATTTGTTCACCAGGATGACAATGCTCCTTGTCACAGGCCCAGAGCAGTTGATGATTGGTTTGACCAACTGGACATTCGCAGGGTGATGTGGCCTGCCCAGAGTCCGGATGTTAACATAATAGAAAATGTGTGGAATGATATGTCAAAACTTTTTACAAATGTCCGTCTAACCAGCAGTGAAACTCTGATATATTCAGTGTTTCATGCTTGGGCCAGCATAAGCCCTGAACGCATCAGACAATTATATGAATCCTTGCTTCGTAGACTGGCACCTATTATTAGGTCACGTGGCTATGCCACTAAGTACTAATTTTGGACCTGAAACTGCATATTATGGTAGAATGTATATTTTGTTCTCATTTTATGATTTTTTGTGAAATTTGATGTTAATAAAATGATACCAGGAGCATATCATTCCACAGTCATTTATCTCCCCCATAGTATTGTCTCAGTAGGGGTGACACTTCTTTTGTCCAGTGTGTGTAGTTATTGTTGCAGAATCGGTGTCGATATTGTTCATATTTTTGCTAGAGCACGTGTGTAGGCGCAGTAATTTTTTTCTTATGGTAAGGACATTGATTCTCGCAATGAGGTGAGATTTTATGTATTATTTAGTTGTTTAGACAGTTAATGAAACTCTTGTAATTGCTGTAAGTCGTAATTATAAGGTAATTGAAATGATTTTTTTTTCTTAATTTGTTATCTTTCGTTTATTTCAGTTTTTACGTATCGATGTCCAGAGACAGAAGAGCAATAAATTGATTAGAAAAGCATGAAAGACTAAAGAAGTTGCTTCTTCGCCACATTTAGCTTAATGACACGGAAAACTATCAAATCTATTGCCATAACAACTCGGTTTGACGCTGCCGCCAGGATGAATCATGCGCACCGACATATAGTAGGGGAGCCAAGGCAAAAAATTAGGGTGAAAAAAATTTTTTANAATATGATACCAGGAGCATATCATTCCATAGTCATTTATCTCCCCCATAGTATTGCCTCAGTAGGGGTGACACTTCTTTTGTCCAGTGTGTGTAGATAGCATTTCTTAGGCCAAAATATTTTTTAAATGGGAGGCGTATTTTGTATGCATCCGTGATTTCTCTATATGAAAGCACGTTGCCGTTTGAATCAAGCAAGTCGAGCACCACCCGGAAGCCCTTCTCATATAGTGGTTTGAAGAATAGGGCCTTGTTTTCGATCAAAATACTCGGATTATACCACAATGGAGCCTCCAGAAAATCTTGTGGGTCATTTTCCTGTATTACGCTAGCATACTGTGAGTAATATAAATATAATTCTTTCCAAAATAAATTTGTTGTGGTTTCCCTGCATTGTTTCGCATATACAGGCCCGAACTGGCAGAGCGACGTCATGTCACAACTTGTAATTTCGGTAAAAATCCTTCCGTATTGGTAAGTATTCGATAGCAATCTGCGAATCCAAGTTAATTTTAAAGCTTTAATGTATGATTTCAAATGCACCATTCTACAGTCCCCATTTTCGAAGTCTTGAATAATTGTCTTTCTTGATACCTTATCATTTTTCCCATGCCAAATGAATTCGAAAAGAATAGAGTTTAACTCTTTTATCCATTGGGCACTGGGACCTAGTAGTGACATGAGCAGACGAGTAAACTTTGGTATCAATAGTGATTTAACCACCTTTATTTTTCCCAGGGTGGATAGATACCTTTTTGACCAGTTATTAATCTCTTTTTTAATGACAGCCAACTTTATGTTATAATTGCGTTCTTCTATACAATCAAGTTCAGCTGTAAAGGTAAAACCTAGAACAGATACAGGTTCATTTGTCCAGTCTAATTTTTCATTTCTACACAGAACTTCCTTACTATTAATTTTTCAGCCAATCCATACTGCTTTTGTTTTGGAAATATTTGGTTTTTACCCGGAATATTTGGAAAATTGGAACAAAAGGTCTAAAGCATTTTTTCGCGATTTCTCTGAGCCGTCTAAAAATACCACTGTATCATCGGCATATTGTAATAATTTTATTTCTTCTCTTCTATACCAATTCCTCTAATGTTTTTTTTCCTGTCTTATAAAAATACCTATTATTTCTGCGCATAAATTAAATATATATGGGGATGCAGGGTCACCCTGTCGACACCCTCTGCCTATTTTGAAAAAACAAGAGAATATCCCGTTCACAATCAGCAGTCTGCCATATTCCACCCTCTCAGTTAAAATATATCTTTTTTCAAATGTGTAACGTCATTATTCTCAGTACTTTGTACAGGCAAACCCCGTTCTATACTTAGACCCACTTACGTCACCCTTACCCTGATCTGTATGAATGTACACGGAACCTCAGTTTCCATTTTAATTCGTTTTTTTTTTCTTAAAGTTTTTCTTCATATTTAGAAAATTATATGATATATTGTAAAAAATGTTACACAAATGCATTTCCAGAATTTTTATGTCCTTTTCATGCTAATTTTATTTTTATATTTATTTGCTATATATGACGATATAATTAGTATAGGCACATGATTTAAGGATAAAAATGTAGGCCTATCTTGGTTACTCTCTCTCTCTCTCTCCAAATGTGTCAGTTGATCCCCCATGCGTTGTATTAGATGCACCACGTCACAATCAGTGTAGTGTGTTTTTTCACGGAAAACCTCAATGGAAGAGCTTGCCAAACCTTACATAAAATGTAAAGCGGGTTCGAAAGGTTGACAAAAATCGGACAATTCCACAATCTATTTTGAATATCATAGATGTTTTTACAATTACTTCTTTGTGCTCAGTCTATAAAACCCAGGATTTGACGAAGACTGGCGAAATCCCGTGAGTAAAAATTAACGTTATAATGGACTGCTTGAGAGTTGAATGCAGCAGTATCTACAGCGGAGCCAACCCTATTCAGATAGGAGCAATCCCCTGAGCCGAAGGAAACAACCAACTGCTCATAAGCTCTTATCATTCTCTGGGTCCAGTCAATAGCTTCCAAATGTCACTGATTTCGCTTGGGACAACAATACAAATACTGGCTGCAAACGACAGAGCCTAGTGAATGAGCTACGGCCTCAGGAATAGACAATCTGAGGAGAGGCTGTAACAATATGTAACGTTCAGAGCTAGTGTAACTACAGGGTTACAGAGAGGGAGAATAGAGCTTTTTTTTTACTGAATTAAGGTAAGCAACTGTACCGCGATACTGCCTTCAGTGATAAGTTTAGACATTTAGTTCAAACATTTAGATCCTAAGAAAACACATTGGACTGTTTATTAGGCATCTTTTGCAACGTTACAGTGACAGTAAAATTCAGATATAGCCATATCACACACGTAGGTTATGGCCGATCTCTGTGTGTTTACACGCACTATGATTAAACATTTCCAATTGTTAAAAGAACTACTACTAAGTGACATTTAAGTGAGGGTTAAATTGCTCGTTTAGCTGGACGCGGTGCTGGTATTTGCACTGCCCTCGGGGTAGAATTGAATGACAAGACATATCTAGAGACGGCTAAATTCATTGCTTTCTATCACTCAATCGGATCGTATAAAACGCAGTGAGTGCGCAACATGAGTTAGCTGGTATAAACAATAACGGCAGACCTCTTTTTTGTGACTTATGCCCGGGACTTATGACACCAGAAACGACTTTTGTACTTCGAAATTAATGTTGTTGTCATCTGACAACTACCGTTACAAGTCTGACATATATCACTACAGCGAGAGATTGATAGTGTTAAAAGAAACTCGCACACCAGTGTAAACCATTCACTGGAAACATTTACCCTTGGCCAGCGGAATTGATCCTTTACCCTATGTACTTGAGGTATGTGTTTAAAAAATACAGCTCATATAAATGTATTTCACTGTTTACATGGTAGTATCATACTAACACTTAAGAGGGCTCATTCCCAATGAAACTATCATTCTACGTAGATCGATCCAACTCCGCAGAGACTCTCGCTGAATGCAATCAGATAAACAGATTAACACGCTTCCTATTGTTTCCAATGTACTCATATAATCACCAACAGTTCTGTAGTCTGCTCAACGCTAGGAGTAGGAGCGTTAATCTGTTCATCTGATTGGATTCTGCGAGAGTCCCCGCGAAGTAAGATTGGTCTATGTATAGAACGATGATTTAAGTGAAAATGAGTCCTTACTTTATTTATTCGTTTTTTTTATTCATAAATATCCAAAAGCAGGTTAGAAACCTACCAGTGGTTACAGAGCACTTTGGTATAATATGTTTCTTTGCTTCTCATCTCAATTTACCCGCCGGTCGCATTCCGTCGGATGACGATATTGTCTTCAAGGGCAGAGCAGACAAACGATAGGACAGAACACTGACTTGTCTGCTGCACTAGTAAACCCGATTCAAGCGTCCGTGTCGAATCACCTGATTGAGACGAAGGTGCTTACAAAATATCGATAGGGTAAACACCTCCACCGCCACTTTTGAGTACTTGTCTACTAATTGAAACCAATGAGAGAGGCAGGGGCACTTTTTTAACCTGGGGTCAAACACGGCAATTATTTCCGATATTGACAAAACTCAGCAACTAAACAGCCGACCATGTTTCCATACAGGGGAGAATGAAAAAGATCGATGTCTTTGTTTGGTAGCTTTATTTGCTCTCAATATTAAAATCAGAAAAATACTTCAACGGATTATTACTGCATACCGACTTTCAAAATAAGACAGGATACGCATTAGAAATTAGTCGTCAATGGCATTCAATGTCACAAGACCAAGGGACCCAATGAAGTGTTCTATGGTGAACGCCATCTTTATATTTATGCTACACTCCACGTACTTCGAATCCTTAACCGAGGCGGTGCTGTTCACGGCTGATTTTTAGAGTGCAATCACATTAATCACCTGGCAAAATATCTCCAATATGGCAAGGAGTTAAAAGTAAATGATCCTCACTTTTGTTCTCGAACAAATTGCGATTAAATTGGAGCTGGCGTAAGGTCAGAACGCTAGCTACCTTGAAAAACAAACTTAACCGGGAGAAAACAAGCTGTTTTATGTTAGATACTGCTTGTTTTTAAATCCAGTTGTCTCCAATGGCTAATTGCTGCTCCAGTGGACAAAAATTAGACAGGCCAGTTCACTACATTGCAGCAGATTTTCCACATTTGTTGTGCTATACTGGGTCAAATAGCCTTTGAGTGCGGTACGATATCACAATTCTGAGATCTGCAAAGCAACATATATTGACCTCAGCCAAAGTCAATAATCGTAATCGTTTTCTTCTTTTCTTTTATAGGTGATATTAATATCGCACCAACCTAACGCGCCGTAAAAGGTAGTTACAACGGAAGGATGCAGAATTCCAGACAGTTTGAAGCACATGACAAGGGGCAAGTTAAGTTTTCAGGTAATCGAGGCAAAAAGCTACAGCAGCGTCTTAAGGAAGGAATAGGGTTGACGGTTGCGGGAACATCTGACCATGACAGCGTCTTACACTTTCCCTTAAAACAGTCAACTTTGCAGGCTCCAACGACCCTTTTTTCCGTCTTAGAGGAGGAGGAGGAAGATGGTGAGGAGACGCAGGACTACAGGGTACGATCTAAGAGTTTTGGGTGCATGGACGACTACTTAAGCAAACGCAGGCAGGGTATAAAAGCAATGCCAATGAGCGCTATACTCTCACCACGTATACTGCGTCGTAAAAACGCTCCCAGATATTTGTTGACGGTGCCGGAAATGGAACCACACCCAAGACGCCGTGTTGTGTCTGCCTTGCCAGCGTCCCAGCACAGTCCAATGCTATCACCAGATGCGTCCCCTAAAAGCACGCCGCGCAGCACCCCACGGACCAGTCCTCGCAGCACCCCCCGGGATTCTCCAGGGGGCTCAACTCACGTGACCCCTCTCGGAAGTACGGAGAAGCTTTGGAAAACGGGGTTTGTGCCAAAACGTCAGAATTGGACGGGCGGAACTTTAAAACAATCCAATATCGGCGGTTCTTTGCCAAACCTTTCCACCGATACCTACATCGACCGTTGCCTGAACGCTCTCTCTCCCGTTAATTTTGGTGTTGGTCGACCCCCGCTGCCCCATGGGTCCCGCCCCTTCCAGATGGCGCTGCGCGACCTGGCGCAAGAGAGGGACCGTTGTCAGGAAACAAAAAGCAATCTGGTGCAATCGAATGGTTCTAAGAGACCAAATACAGACATTATAGACACACAGACAAAAAAGCAAGAAGTGTTTTCAAATATGTTGGATACCGAAACAGACAGTGGATACAAAATAGATAAGTGTGAAAATGGAGAAGGACACAACCAAAAGCATGTTGGGTTCATGGAGCAAGGCAGACATATTCCAACATTTGCCTCAACAGATGATTTTAGTGATTTGCGTTACATGGCCAAAAGTCTGCCCGACATCAGCCAGCTCCACTCAGCTCCAGAACGACAGACTTCTGAAAACAAATTTGTCAAGAAAGATAAGGCTGTATTAAAACAACGAGAACAAATAGAACATCGCCACGCTCTACCCGTGGTGTCATCACCTAGATTATTGCAAAGACCAGCTATTAAACCGAACTCTCTTGTTTGAGAGCCGCCTGTATCAGTCCACCATGATAAAATGGCTTTAATAGATGTTTTCTCCTTGGTGTTTTTTTATTGTAATGGCTTGACCGTCCGAGGATTTAGGTACTGCGTGACGTCATACGTGACCAGAAAATGTGCGAAAAATCCGCACGAGGTTGGGTTTACTCTTTAGCGTTAAGTGTGAAAGCAGTATAAAAGTGATGCCAAAACATGATGGATTCGTATAGTTGTGCAATAGACTGTTATTCGACAGAACCTGAGAGAAAACAACCAAAAATATTAGTGGATAGATTCTCTTAGCTTACGTTTTTTACCAGACCGTACTCGCTAGTCTGGCATTATTTCGGATCTCACTCTTCTCCAAGTCTCGAGAAATCCCGCTTGATTTTACATTAAGTCTCGAATGAATCTCCTTGCCATTTATAATACCTTAAGGACAAATTAGATGCACAGCTGCGTTTTGTCGTGCGTTTTGTGATAACAGAATGAACGCGTCTGTAATAAATAAAGGCCAGTGAGTTAAATGACTTATTATGAGCTTACTCCCATGTATTGATTGTCACAATATGATGGTTGATATTTTCAGAAAAATTATATGTATATGCAAGTAAGTTATCCAAGGATCAAATAAATCACGTGTAAGTGAATAATTATGTTATGTATTGTTATATATAATTATATATACTTTTTTCATTTTTCTTTTTTCAAAGCGCTCTGGACATATCTAAAATCATAATTTAAAAAGATGCGTCGGAAGGAGAGGGGTAACCTCTTAATTACCTTAAGAATATGGAAAATGTGACAACAAAACAAGAGGAAACAAAGTTTATGAAATGGAATGTATGGAAAGTAAAATTCCTCATACGTCAGAGGAAGGCGTGTTTACCATACAGCGGTTACTGCATTTATATTTTGGTCCTTGTCATTCTAACTCTTTCTTGTGTGGTTGTATCTATAGTTGTCGGTAAGAGACCTAGAAAACACCACATGCCATGTGGCGACCAAGGTGGACCACAAGAGACACTGGATACGAAACTATGTCCACTTAATGTGCCACTTTAAGCCATTATGAAAATCTTTTTTTTTTTACAAATAAAAGAGAAAGCTCCATCTTTTCTCTTTTTTTCCGCAGGAAAGACACATTTTTGTGCGAACAAAATCCATTATTTTGACTCCTGCTTGTTCAACATTGTCAATATATGTTTTCTCTTAAAGTTGAAAAATGAAAGTAATGGAGACAGTTTGTCATATCTTATATTCTTTCTTTCCTCAAGACAGAAGAAATAAGCAGATTTTTGTGGATTGTTCACAGGATGGAGTAAAGGTGTTCTGATTTAGAAAATTAAAAAAGCAATAAAACATCTCTATTTCCTAGCTTTAATTTGGCGTGAAGTGATTGCACTGGTGAGTTGTACATTGAATGACATTTACTGCTTACAAAGGTTGCCTTCGATGAAATGAATATATTTTAGGAGATTGGCCCTCTAGCTGAAAACTTTCGTAAAACTTTTAAGATAAATTTATTTTTAAATATCTCTTTATGATTATTGACAAAATAATTATATAATAATTAAAATGATGCGCTTTTTATGTTCCGCATGACTGGTACACGGTAAAACGATTTTTTTTAAATGTCTGATTTAATACAATGCATTTGCAAGAAATTAAAGATAGGCACAATTTACATTTGACACAAAAAGTGACTTAAAGCAAATTGACTTTACTATGTCGAGGTCATATTTTCAATCCCCAACCTATTATCCTTTGCCTAAACACCGAAACCTCAATGGTTTCTCTTTCTATTATATTGTTGTTAGAAAGCTTTTGGATTGATTAAACTTTATGGGGGTTATTCAGCAGTATTTGTTCCCATGCTATCTCCTTTATCAATGATGGATTACTATGGTAAATATTTTTTCTTTCCGTTATCTCTCCACAAAACTTTAAAGACTTGATATTCAGGTAAAAATAGTAATGAACTGATATACAATTTTACTCCTTTAAAGTCGATAGAAAGAAAAGGAAATGGCAAAGAAACCATGAATCATTAAAAAATGTGATATGGGGAGGGGGATGCGAAATGTCTGCTTATTGAAAAAAAAAAAAAAGAGAAACCCTTCCTACATCCAATATGGTCGAATGCATTCAGCTTTAAAATAACTATTTCGGACTATGACGAGGGGGAATTTCCCGCTCTCCAGTCGCGTTCACGTTGTTAGATTGACCCTCCACATTACATCCATCCATGGGTCCCCTGATCAAGCTCAGCACAACAAATGAAATGTCGGCAGCAAAGGTTGTACCTCTTTTCGCTTGCCTACCGCCATTCCCAATGCTAGGCATGGCAATCGACGATTTTAATTTGAGAAACGGGGGACTTCACTTGCTGTCCATGTTCATGTTGGCCCCGAGTCGAGAATCGAAGGAGCGTGTTATCTTCAGTGTGAACGCGGCATTTAACACAGGTAAAACGCAGGTCTAGCGTGACGTCTGCATATGAAGTGGCTATCGTCACACTGGCCAACAGGATGCGGCCTATCTCCACACGGAAGGTTTTGATCTAATATTCGCATTTCCTTCTTGATGTGTAGTTAATTTGGTATAATGTGCTACGCACCAAAGCCTCTGCCCGCCATGTACCCTAGCCACATACATCACCGAAATTAAGGAAGAACTGTCAAATATGGCACATTAAGGGCATCGATTAAGGTACGTAAAATAAGATAACAAAAAGGACAACATCTTAATAATAATTATCCCCATCAGTCTTTTCGCAGAAATCGGCCTTTCTATTTCTTTAATTCTGGCCACTACCTTAATTGTAAGTGTTTACATTGATAAGTATCAGGATGTCCTTGTAATTAACATTCCTTACTATACTGACCACCGTACTCACAGGATGATTGGGGGGGGGGGGGGGACTGGCCAAGGCAGCGGTCAGTAAATTTTTTTACTGAAACTTAAAATCTCTCGAACCATCTGTCCGTTTTCCATGCTCAACCTTGCTTTAAAAAGCTCATAATCACACAATTACGTACTTCTTGCACAGTGTACAGTTTGATACTTTTTTTCTTTTTTAGACTTATATATTCAATCTGATTCTTGACAAACGAATACCATTTTTAAATCAAAAATATACTTTATTTATGTATTACTTATAAACCATCTCTCTCCCTCTCTCAGTTCAAAAAGTGCTCAATTGCACCACATATAAGGTACATAAATTTTGTGTGATGAGCTGTTTAGTATAGAGCACTGTCAACACATGATGGTTTAAAATTTATTTAATTAAATCATTGCAATAAACATCTTTGCAATTGTACCTTGAATAAATGATTTTTATGCAAACGCGCACGAGAAATATGATTTTGATCTAAAGTATAGTGTAACGTACTGTCGAGGTTTTTTCATTGAATCATTATAATTGCCTTTCGCTGGAAACTGGAAACGATAAGAAAGAAAAACAATTTAAATCTACAGTAGCTTTATTCTTAATGGTTTTAAGTGTCTACATTCAAAACGTGACTTCTGGGGGCACATGTTCAGTTCGTGGAAGAAAGTTTTCCTTATATTTATGTACAATGTTTTGTGGTCGGCCGGTCAACAGGCTAATTAAGATGCGCATTTAGATTACGAAGAACACTCAAATCTTACTTAAACAAAATGGAAAATATAGTTTTGTAAACGTGTATTTCTTTGCGCAAAATCCAATAAAAGTCAGTCAAATGTGTGCACTATGACAACAATGAACATTAATTAGAGTAATTGGGGCATAGAGCGCTGGTTCTTTTTATTTATAATTAAACTGAATGCTACGCAGCCCGCGAACATGTAACATAGTAAGGTCTTACAGGGGGCTCGGTACCTGTTAAGGTTACCTTGGCCGGGGTAAACCGCAGAAGCTTCTTGGCAGCCTCTCCCCTTTAGTCCGTGTAGGAGGAAGCGGCCTGGACAAGATAGTAATCGAGATTGAGGAGGAAATAAATTTAACGATGTTCAACTGTTTGACAGCGCGGTGGAAGGATATATAAGAAGCAGTATTCGGAGTGATTGATATCGACCCTTCGTTGGGAAATAAGAAAGACAGGTCGACTGGTAAGTTGGATATTTTCTTTTCATTCTCGTGTTTTATTTATTTATATTTTTTCGATGTGTGAGTACATGAGTAAATTGATGTTTTGTTGTTCCTTTTTTCATTCTTCAGCAGGTGATGTTTTTATAAAGAGTGTG